AACTCAGGAACCAGATGGGCTGTTCTCACTGAACATAGCAAAGGAAACGGGACTGAACCACCAAAACCTCAGAGTGACCAAAAAGCTCATGGCAAAAGGTGGGAGGAGGCTTGTGTCTATTTTGAAACAGAAAAGTATTCAGTAGCTGTAGGCTACTGTTCAAAATACTTTGATTACTGTATTTAAGGAAGCCAAAAGCGATACCGTAGTGACAGTCCACCAGCCTTTGTATTCTAGAAAACATTCTCTCTTGTAATGCATAGCAGATATGAAGCTGCCAGCTTAGGGACATGCAGGCGTTTTAACTGTTTGGCATTAAGTTTGCAGATGATGGGTAAATCAAACCCAACTGAGGTCTGAAATACATATCCAGAAGAGAGAAGCACATTGCATCTCACTGAGGTGCTGCACAGCTGCAGGGCCTCTTGCTCTTCAAGCCAGAGATGCTGGCAATACCATTACTGGTCTCATTCCTTTGGGTTTGTCCCAGCTGTTCCCATATTCCCATTTCTGTTCCCATATTGTTTCTCTATGCTGTAAACAGGCTTGATGATAAAAAAAATAAAAATAGCATATGGATGCAACCCAACGAAACAGCCAGGGTAAACTTCATGCGAGAAACTGGATTTAGAAATGCAGCCCTGAGTCATGCCAAAGAGAGTCTGATGTTAAAGGCTTTTTTAAGAAGCAATTGGAAAGCAGTCTCCTTTTAAAGACACTTCCCAGTGCTCATTACAGGGCCATAACACTGCAAATTGGGGCTAAATTCCACCAATCTCACTCCTGTGCATGTGTTTGTCTGAGTAGGATTATGAGATATAGCTGCACTTGTTCAGAAGTCCCCCATAGGGTTGGTGACAGCAGCATGTGGCTTACTGTCTTGTCCAGCAAAACTTCACTGCACAGAGGGATCATGCACACATTGTCACCGGAGCACTTGAAGTAGAAAGCAAGTGTTATTGGGCTCTAGGTAGAGAAATAAGCCCCCCATAGGGTGCCTCAAATTCCTGCTGTTGTTAATAGCAAGCTTCAATAAAAATAATGGTGTCAGAAAGAGAAGAGTTGGCCGTGATGAAGCTGACGCATCTTCCCTAAGACATCTCATCCCAGAGCTCAGCTCCTTCTGAATCCCCTTCCATTTGGCAGAGACCCAAAATAAGAGATGAGATGAAATTTAAACCATGTTTGAAACTAGATGATCTTCAAGGTCCCTTCCAACCTAAACCATTCTGTGATTCTGTGTGTGATTCTGTGGCAAGCTAAGGACATCCCCTGTTCTCTGGAGTTATGAAGCTCCTTGACCTACTGCGTTCTGGGACAATGTGGTGCTTCCTGCAGGTCACTCACCTGCCTGGACAGTGGGGACATGGTGGTGATGTGGGAGTGACACCTCGTGGATCACAGGGCTGGCTCCTCTGCAGAGTCGTGCTCAGCTTTTGGTTGTGAGTCAGTCAAGAGGTGAGATAAACACATAGGAATTTCTTCTTGTGGTTGTTTTTTAGCGACTACAGTAGGCTCTTCTTTAGAAAAGGGAGAATATTTGCAAGTACTTTGCAGTGACTTAGAACCAGCTTTATTCCAACAATTACATTTATGTTATCATAACCATAAAATTGCGATGCATGAGGTGTACTGACTACTTCTGGCTTTGTATCCCATCATCCCCTGTTTCATTAAGGCTTTAGAACTCTAACACTATTCTAATGGCTGGGTTCAGAAAAGGTCTTTATGTCATCTTCATGCTCATCATTGATACGATAGCAAGAAAAAAAGCAGTTTTCATTAGCAAAACTGTCCCCTTTTGCCTTTTTTGCTGGTTTAGGAGAGCGAACGTGTCACTGATGAAGACTGAACGTGACTCAGTTTTCAATGCTTGGCCAGCAGCTTCTGAAATACATCCACATTTTGTGAGGTCAATAACCTTGTAGCCACTGATGTTGAATTTTTTACTGGTTCAAGTCCATATGTCTCTGACCTAATTAGATTTTTACTGGCTAATGGTTTATGGAGCAAACCTCTGAGGGTTTTTTGCCCTGATCATGAAGAATCCCTAGCAAGAGGGAAATGAAGCTCACTAGCACTGTAATCCTTCTTTAAAATGGGCAAGCACCTCATTCACTTCCAGGTTGGTAACTGTTCATGCTGTTAACCTGTCAGATAATACTGCTACATTTTAACTTAAAATTACTGATTGGATTAAAGATTAATCTGTAACCTTAAAAGGAGCAAGAAGCATGGTTCCCCTTTGGCTGGTGATGCAGTGCAATGACAAGTTACCGTTGCCAAACCCCCCAGTTTGCAGGCCCCTAAAATGCTTCCAGGGGAGGTCCGGGTTCATTTAAAACTGCTCTTGAATGGAGATGAGCTCCTTTCTCAGTGTCTGCTGAGACTACACATTTAAAACCACAGGCTGGATTTTGTCACTGTTAAGTCGTGTTTCAAGTGCTCCATGGGTGATAAAATACCCAAATTGTGATAGATTGAGTTACTTTATTATCTGCTGGGGGCACATTTACGGTATTGCCCTTTTTGGTACGCCTGTTAGTGATGACTGCGGTTCTGCTCATGTTTCTGTCACTGTCTCATATGGTCTTTGAACTAATCTTTTCTCATTTTCATCTGGATTTTCCTTCTATAAACCAGGGATAATGGCATTTCTTTAGCTGGAGTGCACTTCACATTCAAGTGAAGGGTAAAGTGCTGCTGCTGGAGAAGAGCTACCATCCCTGAAATGAGTGACAGACTCCATCACTCATTTGGGAGATATGATGAGGCTTTATAAAAGATAATCTGCACAGCACTGCAGAAGCTTGTGTCTCACTTGACACCATTTAAGCCCTTTAACCTTCTTCTGACAAATGGACAAATGCCTGGCCTTCAGCTCTGAACAGAAAACACCAAAACTCTCCAAATCCAGTAAGAGCCAGTGCCCCCAAGTTCTGTTACATGACACAAGCTCGCAATAGACAGCTCCAACCTGGAAGACAAAGGTTGTGCATGAATTAATGACTTAAAGGCACTTGCTGGTTTCAGGGTCAACAGCATTTTGGCTGTGCAAGGCACAGAGGGGTTGGAGCCGTGGGGTTTGGGCCAGAGCTTGCTTGGGGCTGCCCCATCTTCGCTGTGCCAGGCTGTCACGGCTGTCGGCACGTATTAATGAGCTGAAGGGAAAGGTCTGAGGCAGCTCGTGCCGCTTCAAAGAGCCCTTCAGGGTAACATGTAAGACACAGCTCCCAAGACAAATAAATGGAGAAGGGCTTAGCTTTTTCCTGTGGCTGCCTGCAGGCTGAGGCCGTGGAGCTGAGAAAGTGCTGCTGAGGCCACGCATGCTGGAGGGCTGCTGGCTCCTTCCAGGAGGACCTGCCCTCCACACGGGTCATGCAGCATCCTCCTGCTCCCATTGGCTTCCCAGGGCATGGCTCTCGGCACACTTGTGTTTGCTTGAGGGGGTCTGCATGGAGGTGGGGATGGGGAGGAAAACCCCACTCATGGAGATGGGAAATCGTATTTTCAAGGCTGCAACCTGAAGAGCCCAACCTGAGCACCTGACCTTTTTACTTTGGCAGGGTTGGTTTTTATTTGGCGTGTAGCAATGCAGGACTATAGAGGTGGGAGGCTTTGCCTGCACATGGTTTCATGTTTGCTTTGGAGGAAGTGCTGGTCTCAGGCTCTGTTGATGTTAGGAAGGCAGCGGTCGTATGAGGGTGCATCCCGGCCTGGTATGGGGTGATGCAGGCAGCAGAAATCGGTGTTCCCACAGTGCTGGGGATGGCAGTGTGGCTTTGCCACCCAGACACAGGCATGCATGTGCAGAGCTTTCTGTGCAGGTAAATGCCACACAGGCAGGGCAGGGCTGCCCATGGGTACCATCAGGGAGCAGGTCAGGGTGGGAAGCAAAGGGTTTTTTCAGAGAGAAAAGGGAGGGGGGGAAGTTGAAATCTTCATGCAGAAAGAGAGGAATGAAAAAGTATTTATCTTAAATATGTCGTGTTTGTGCATAATTAAGCACCAGCTAAAAGCTGGGATTGAAGCTTCTAGGATCAGACACTGGGCACATGGGATGAGAATGCCAGGGAAGGAGAACTTAAAAAACACAGCAAATCCTGCTTCAAAGTGGGCTGCAGCTGGGTTTGCCAGTGGTGCTGGGGAAGGAGAAGCCCAGTGTGATGATGAAGAGCAAACCCTGAAGCCTCAGAGAAATGTAAAAGGCCTGAGAGCAGAGTTTCTTCCAGGCTGGGTCCTGAGGAGGCTAAATGTCTAAATGCAGTGCTCATAGGTAAAGCAGCTTTAGACCGGAGCTGCCACGTGTTCTAGGGGAGGGGATGGAGCATTCACCTCTGCTGTGAGGTTATTTGACATGAAAAATACTCTAGAATCAAAGAAATGGGCAATGGGGCTTGGAACTGAGGCCTTTTTCCCTAAAGCAGAAATTGAATTATTTCCTATCACCAGATGCCCAGAAGGGATGTGATGAATTCACTGTCCACCCACAGGAGAGGTTGGGATGCAGCTGGGTGAGGGGGACTTTGCTGCAGGGTTGGAAAGCGCATCCCAGTGTGTTCTGCGTGCCACTGCTGTACCTGCTGGTAAATAACATGGTGCTTCTCAAAACTGCAGGATGATGCTTTGGGGGATGGTTTATCCACCAGCTCCATGTAGTCCCCCACACCACAGAGCAAGATTCTGAAGGCTGTCTCTACTGATTCCTGCAGGAGCAGGGCCCAAGCGATGTGCTGCTCCCAATACCCCTTGCTGTGCAAAGTTACAGTCGGATACATCCAGAAATGGTGATTATCACAGTATGAATTTTAATCCCTCTTGCCCATTACTGGCTCCAAGGATGGAAGGAGACCTTGCTTTCTGCTCTCCAGTCCTCTTTGTCCAAGAGTGGCTGATTTGAAAGGGCTCAGCCTCCTAATAATTATACACAGCCCAAAGGAATTACCTTCTTCCCCAGCTACAGATCCATGGGTGGATCGATCCTGGGGCACTCTGTATAAGCGCTTTTCTTTCTGTAATTTCTCCTGTGACTTTTGACATGACCCTGCCCTCACTGGGGACATTGGTTATTTTTATTTTTTTTTCTTCAGTGAGATCATTTACTCCTAGATAAAGATTAATTTTAATTTTAAATTTTAACTGGACTCTCTTAAGTGAAACCGTTTTTATAGGCCAGCTAAGATGCTGTTATCTTTGCCCAGCTTTGCCTCTGTCACGGGCTGCTTCACCGAGCAGGTAATAAGTAACCTTTCCTCCCTCTGGGTGGGTTGAGGGCAGAGGGCTGGCAGAAGTAGGCTGATGGCCTCCTTGCTCCCTTCTCCTTGGGAATCATAAACATTTTTAGTGTCAGTGACCTCTCTCTGCCCCTTGTTTTGGGTAATCCTTGCGGTGCAAGAAGATGCCATTCCTACACCGTTCCCTGCTTCCCTCTGTGTGGAGCCTAAAAGACCTCCCAGAAATGACTATGGTTAAAGGGCAGCAGCTGAGTCAGGCCCAGGGGAGCAGGGCTTCAGGCACAACGGCTGCATTCACAGCCCAGCCCTGACACATGCTCCAGGGCTGTCCAGGCCACAGCCCTGCACCACACTTCTCAGAGCCACATAGACAGGTCATTGTCCAAGCAAGGATGCAGACGTACGTATCCAGACTCCCAGTCTCCTGCTTTTACCACAGATGGTTTGTAACACAAGTGGGTTTGGGATGGATGGACTGTACCCAGGTGGTGCATGGTTTGAGAGAGGACTGGGTATGACATAGGATTACATCTCCTGCCTGAAGTGGATGGGAGAGTGCAGGTTTGAATGGGCGTTGTGTCCAGTCTAAGTGTGAACCTTGCTGAACCTTGGAACAGACCCAAAGCATCCTCAAGGCTGGTACCATCTCATAGCACAGTATGGAGCAGCACAAAATCCTTGTGAACTGAAAGAGCTGGAAAAAAAAGATGTCAAACTCTCTTTTCCTACCTAAGGGACCATTGCATCATTTGTCTGATCAGGGTAGTTTTACAGAAGTGATGTGTTTCCACTGATGTCTCTGACAGGTCTCACACCATTAGACACTGACAGAAATGTGGAAACAGCAGGTCTTTTACAAAACCTTCCATGTTCACATTGATTCTGTAATCCAGCTCTCCAAGACATGTTTTTTATATTCCTTTTGTTGTGTATAGAGTGCAAGTGGTACCAGTTAACACTGGATGGGGTGCAGAAAGCAATGCCCCTTGCTAAATGAGCTACACATGAAAGAGTTGTGTTTCCCTTCACTGGGAGAAAATGCTTCACTGCAAGGGGACAAGAAGGTGAAGAGGAGGGAAGATGGTGTCCACCAGTGGTCCATCCAGCTTCACGCATGGTCTGGAGTTAGTCTCTTCCCCTGCAGGACCGGCTTTTCCTACACTGTACCATGGTGAGCAATGCTTGTCTACCCTGAAGGATTATTTTGGGGATAAGTATTTGTAAAGAGCTGTCAGTGTTCAGAGGAGCAGGCTAGATGAAGAGGATGGAACAGAGAGATGAAGAGGAAATCCTAAGAGAAATTGCATTATCAATGCCTAATAAAGCAGATATGGGACTCCCAGGTGCTGGGAAATCACTGCAGGGAGAAGAATCCAAGCTAGGCTTTGAAATGAAGCAAACCTGCCCTACTGCACTTGGTGGGGAACCTGCACACAAACCGTGCTTCAACTTTGCCTTTTGCAGGCGTAGATTCCAGATTTTATGGAGAGCTGGGGGTGGAGGGGAAGATTGTGCGAAGTGCAGCAGAACCCCTGACATCATTTACTCTGGATAAATATAATGCGATAATAGGAGCATTCTAAGGAAGGTCTCTCAGTGGCTTTCCAGAAAGGCAAGCTCCACCAAAATATGGCAGCCTTCATGCCCTTCTTCATCTGTGGAGTGTGTGCACTGCTTTTTGCAGCTGCACTCTATGTTCTAAAAGTTTTTAAGCAATCATCAGCTTTAAATTTGCCTTCTGGTCCATTTCCTCTTCCCATCGTTGGCAGCCTGCATTTGCTGGACATCAGAAAGCAAGACAAGTCACTAATGAAGGTAAGAACAAGTGTCCTTTGTTTCTAGGCTGTTGAATGTCAGCAAGTACCCATTAAAATTCTCTCTGGTGAGAGTACTGAGATGATTTTTGGTGCCAAATTGATTTGTTTTCTTTACAATGTGATGTCTCAATGGTTTCAGAGCGACCAAGTGTCATTTCAGAAGGACCAAACTGTTGGGGACTGCTAAAACTGTTCAACAGAGTCCCAAATCTGCAGAGGGTGATGGTAAATATGAGCAGTGTTTCACTGAAAACTACTCTACACATTGAAAACTATGAGTGTCTGCATCAGATCAGACCAATGGACCTAAATTTTGGCATCTTCCTTGTGCTCTGAAATACTTCAAAATATTTGCGTGTCCACGTAGCCAGATTGAAAGATGGATGCATAATTGTGATTGCCAAAATAGCTTGTATTTCTTATGTTGCCAGTTTTTCATGAGAATGGGAATTAATGTAGCACAGCTCAAAGAAGAGATGTCGAACTCATTTGAAACAGTGAATGACTTGGAGTTACGAAGACAAAGTTCTCTATAGGAGTCATAGTTTCCTTGCATCTCTCTTCTAGAAAAAAGGGGAAATTTCAATGTATTCTGTCTCTCAGAGCCAAAATGCAGCTGTAATCTAAGCTCAGCTGCATTTTCAGTCAGGACACGGGGTGTGAATATCCTGCACCTTACACCAAGCCTTTTAGCATCGGGTTGCCAGCAGCCCTCAGACCTGCTTAGCATAATGTAGGGAAGAGGAGCTGGCTTTTTCTGTCTCATTCCAATCGCTGTGCTATGTGAGGAGCCTCCAAGATGCCTATGGAGATGCATCTTCATCTTACACCAAGCAGCTCACAGTGGGCTCAATGCCCAGAATTTAGGAGCTGGGAAGTGCTTGGACTGTGGTTCCTGTTTCTGACAAGACCAGAAATCCTTCTGCAGAGGAAGGCAGGGGAGAAGGAGTTTTGGCATTGTGCATGGACATACAGTGGGAAGAATAAGCAAAGCAGAGGCTGGAAAGGAGATGAAGACCCAGCAGGTGATAGCATCTTAGTGAAGCACAGGTATTGGGCACATTGGCCACGCTGATGCCTTCTTTTCCCCACCAACTATAACATCAAGAAGTCAGCTGGGAAAGGGGTCTACTGCTGAAATTAGCCAGGGAAGGGGTCTGTGGCTGCAGCCCAGGGGAGCCTCTCACCATCCTCTGCCCTTTGCAGTCAGGACAGAGCAGATGCGGTCTGCATCTGCAGCACCTGGGCTGCGGCTATGGGTGAGGCAAGATTTTACAGTGGAGCTTGCGAAACTGCAGTAGTGAGCTGAAAGCTGACTTAAAAGCCAGAATTTTAAGGTATTACTTAGCAAATAAATGACCTGGAGTAGAAAATCCTCCCTGAAAGGAGAATCCCTAAAGGATTCCCCTGTGAAAGTTTCACATTAGATGAACCAGCAACCAGCCATTGCTTTGAACAGATGTTTGAAATTGGTGTTCTGTGAGCTACTTTTCTTGCAGGAATTCAACAAGTCTGGCTATATTGCTGAAACACTGTTTAGACTCTGCCTGCTTGCTTTGGTGGAGCAGGAGGTGTTGCAAAGCTGTGGAACCTTCTCTAGTCACCTTTACCAGAACTGGTCTCTTTTATGGGACATAAGGCTTCGTCTCACAATAGCTTTATGGAGTTTCAACTGCATTGGTCTCAATCAAGGCTTAATTCCTTCTAGGGCCTGGCAGGACCATGTTTGTGAGCCTCCAGAGAACTCCTGCTACCCAGTAGCTCAGATTTCATTATAAAGTCCTGCTGTGCATTAGCTTGAAACCTATGGTGCAGCAGAAATAAAAAGCAGAGTGTGGTATTGTGGTTATTTTCTAAGGCAAGTTGAAAGAGCAATGGTTTCTTATGCCTTCATATGTCCATCCTTGGTGAATCATCTATACCTCTTTGCATTAATTGCAGCAAAGCTTTTATTTCACTTTTGTAAGAAATATGGACACCTCTGCTTTTTCATTCTCTTATGGTGGACAGTAGCTTTACAGCCTCCTCAGTCAGCAGTTGCTCTGTATCTGTCTGCCAAATCTCGATGATGCTTTTACGCTGCTGGTGGTGATCAAAAATGTCTTTTTATCTTCTGCTTCTTTTAACCTCCTGCACCAAACTGAGCCCAACCAGCTCAGAAAAACAGTGGTTTTATGGGAGCTTTGGAGTTAAGCAGGCCACCATTTATTTGCTTTGATTCCTTTTTGTCTTGGGGCTTTATCTCTGGCATCCCTCCAATCCTTCTGGCCACAGAAGGAGGAGGGAAGGCAGCTCTTCATCTACTCAGGCAGGATGCACTACTGCCACTGATGACTCTATGCTCTGATTTTCCTCTCCTTCTAGATTTCAGAGAAATATGGCCCCATTTTCACCATCCACTTGGGGTTTCAGAAGGTGGTGGTGCCGACTGGCTACAAGACAGTAAAAGATGGTCTTCTGAGCACAAGGGATATGTTTGCAGACAGACCACGTGTACCCATATTCTATCACATCCAACACAGAAACGGCACTGGCAGGTTGAAAAGATAAGGATGTGCTTGCTTTGCTGTTTCTCAAATGTGTTGTTTCGCTGCAGCAGTATTAAAGAATCTTGAGCTGCATCCTTATTGAGGGCTACATTTTGTGGAGCTTGGGGTGCAGTTGTTTGTTTTATTAAAGAATATACTTCTGGGGATCTTCTTATCTGCCTTATCAGGTTTTTGCTTTTAGAGGCACTTGGGTCACATTTCAAGGAGGTTTTGGTGGGTTTTTTTTGTAGTGCAGAGGGAAGGAAATCATTTTTCACAATGTGAAGGCTGAGGTCCTTATGCAATCTCTTTTCTGCAGTTACTGGGAGTTCAGACAAAGCGTGGATCATGCATGACTCATGATAAAGACTGCAAGAACTGGCAAGAGCGCAACAGCACGGGCTGTTTGTACCTCAAACAATTACTTCTGTAAACAGATTTTTGGTGTGTTTCTGAATTGCATATTAAAAAGTAGTACATTGCCCAAGACTAGACATTGAAAAACAATGAAGGGAATAATTCTGGCCTGAAAGGAAAAGATGTGATGATCTAATATGTATATAATGCATGCAGCGTGTGGGGCTTTTTTTCATCTTGTCTTTAAGAGTGAGGCCCAGTGTGAGGAAGGGAACACTGCACTACTTTCCCAACCACAGGATGAAGATGTAGAATATATTCAGTCCTGGAAGCCCTCCTGGGAAGGGAGGACTTCAAATTGTAGCCAAACACCTCCATACACTTTTGGCTGAGCACTTCTTTTGGCCAATGGGTTAGCCAGCTTGAGGGTATTCTCTATCTGTAAGCAAAGGTGCCTCCTTGTCATCCCTCCTCGTCCCCCTGCACAGTACATAGTTTATCTTCTAAACTGCAAGTCCTGTTCATGACAGGGATGGAGTGATGTCATCTGCTCTTAGCCTTGCTCTCTGAAACAGCTGGATCCTTTTTCTAAGGCAAAACAAGTCAGTTTGAGACGGATACCATGCATAGAGCTTTTTACAGTATATGGCTGCAAAGTGACAAAGCCATAAACAAGGCAAACCCAGGGCTGTGCTGTGAACAGCACCCAACTTCGAAGTATTGCTTCCTACCCTCCTGAACCTACCTGGGGTAGTGGTTGCCCAAGCCAGCCTCCTCCAGCACCCCACAGTCATCTCCCAAGCAGGCTCCTCCAGATTACAAAATACCTGTGCTCCCCAGCTGTGCTTTTGTTGTTTTGGAGCAAATCCTGAGCCTCAGCAAACAGGGCAGGCACTCCTTCCATAGGTGTGTTCTTTTCTTCCCAAGAGCTTTGGAAGAAAACACGACGGTTCACCATAACCGCCATGCGGGATCTTGGCATGGGGAAGCATCTTGGTGAAGAAAGGATGCTTGAGGAGCTTCACTTTCTCATTGAGTTGATCAAATCCTTCAAAGGTGAGCTGGGGTATCAGGAGTTTCATGCTACTTTACAATGCTACTGTGAAGACCTCTGGGTTGCTCCAGAAATGACCAGTGATGGTGCTCATTTCTAGGTAGACCTTTCCAATTGTGGTTTTTGGATATGGCTCCCAGCAACATCACTTTTGCTATTCTCTTTGGGAGAAGGTTTGATTATAGAGACCCAACATTTCTCACCCTGTTAAGACTCATAGATGAAGTTATGCACCTTCTTGGCTCTCCATTCTTGCATGCAAATTACCCTCTATGCTGAGATGCTCCATTATCCCACCTGATTTGGTAGGTCAACTCAATTTACTTCTGCTGGATGCATTTGGGGTATCTTTAGGTTACTGAAATATAAGATTCATAGAAGCATAGGGTGGTTTGGGCTGGAAGGGACCTTGAAAGGTCATCTAATCCAACATCCTTGCCATGGGTAGGGACAAGATTCTTCCTTTGGGGGTTTCCTCCTCCATGAAATCCTCCTGTGAAGGAGGTCCAATGTCATGTGGTGGCACTGGGCTGAGATGCTGATGTGACTGTGCCAGCAGAACGAATGTGTTTGATTCTTCTACAGCCAGAAAGTGCAATAATGCACCAAGTCCAGCATGGTGGGACTTGGCATGGGCAGAGTCCAGGAGCATCAATAGAAATCCTCAGAAGTGCTATAGACACCTCCCTTTATGTTATTCTTAGTCACTTTATTTAGCAAACTTCATGGTTTATGGCAAACTGTAGCCTCCCATGGGGAAATAGACCCTAATGTAGGTCTGGGATCTGGGTAACCTATCTTCAGTGTTTCACAGTAACTGCACGAAAACATTCCTGGAGTGTGTCTCAAAGATGTTTTTAGCACTTTTGGCAGAGTTCACAAAGATTCTGCTTTCCTGGGGTTTTGATGTTTTCTTGGTTTTGTTAGTATTTTTCCAGCAGTACCCAGAATGAAACAATGCAGCATATTCTATTCCCTTGTATTTTCAGGCCAAACAAGACTCTGGTGGAAGAGACAGGAGGGAATCAGGTCCCTCTTGGAAGGCATAGCCAGAGTTTCTTTCTTTAAAGAGACACCAGTGATAAAAGTATTGAAATACTGGCTTTATTTGTGGATGCACAAATGAAATCAGCCAGGCTTATTCCAGTTATTTTCTGCTGGATGCTGTGGGAATGTTCATACACAAGTAACCTCTTCTCTTAGGACAATTACATGTGTATTTGGGGGTTACTTGGTTTTGGTCACTTGCTACAGTTTAAGAAACCAGTGAAGTTACAGAGTTGTAGTACAAAGTACAGAGCCGCAGACATTTACATGCGGACCTCTCGTACCTCCTATTGTGGCATTAAATCAATACCCGCTCAATGGAGCCACATAAAAGGAGTATTTCAACTAAGAGGCTTTCATCTGAACCAAGAGTTCCTGTTAAATTTAATCCTTCATCACAGGGCATAGAGTATTAGTTACCTAAGGTAATAGTGAAATACTCATCCACACAAAGCTGTTAACAAGAAGATGTTGATGAATTCCTTACCTGAATAAGAACTACTTACAATAGCTACAGTTTACAACAGTACAACATCCCTTTTCTTTTCTCTGCAGCAGGTTTGGTTTGTGCAGAAATTACAACCTGTTAGAAAGTGCAGGAGGTTTGTGAATCTTATTCTGCAGCCAGTTTATTTGTAACATTGAGAAATGGTGTAAATAAACCCCCGCACATAAAACGCAACTGTTTATTGTGCTGTGAAATTTAACGATGCTGAGAACTGCGTGTAATTGATTTATAATTCATGTGAAAGGTAAAAATTATGATCTAACAACTTTAAAACAGAAGTATTTTGGCTTGCTAAACATTGCGGGTTTTCTTCGTGTAATGCATGTGCTTTATCTTTTTGGTTTATTACCTCTTTAAAAACGTAATTTCATTGTTTCATGAGCTCACTATCACTTCCCCTTAATTGTACTTTTTTTCTAATTCGTGTTTATAGGCTCTGTCTAGACAAGCCTGATGGGCTCCATTCATTTCTGTAGAGAATTCAATAAGAGGAAGCATTTTTATACATTTAAATTTTTTAGGAACCAGAAAAAGAGAGACCTCAGCCGCATCACATAAATGATTTCTCCATTATGGTACTTGAGTTTTACAAGGTGATTTTTTTCCTTTGTAGTTATTTAATTTCTACCCATTCCTTGGATTTCTCCTCAAACCTCACAAGATGATACTGAAAAAAGTAGAAGTGTGTGTGATCTTAAAGAAGTGCATCAAGGAAAGCAAAGAAAGCGTTAATGAGAACAACCTGAAGAGCTACATTGATGCATTGGTATTCAAACAGGAGGTATTTTAACTATATGACAATTCCTAGTGCTGTATCTTATACACAGAAGCTCTTTGTTTCTTGTCTAATGAGCATGCTCTCCAATGGCCTATACGAAAATTTTGGGTAACCATCCTTCTATTTTAACATGTTAAATTCTGCATATTGAATGAAAAACAACAAATAATTAACTATTCCTTATCACATGAATGTCTAAAACTTGTCCTCAGCTGTCAGCTACAGTCCCTTCCTTGCTGGAGAGAGGTAATATCATTTTTCCAACACACTCCAGGTAGACACACATCACTCCCTACAACTATGGGAAGAGGCAACAGATTGCCACTTGCAGAGATGCAGAAGTTCTTATTGCATTTATACAAATACATCACCAGTTCTCACATAGTAGATTTACCAACAGGAATGCTAGGATGGGAGTATGGCAAGGAAGGGTCAATCTGTATTTGCCCTTTTTCTCCCAGTGTTTGTATCTGTGTACTTGAGATGGGTGGTGGGCAGGATGGGTGCTTGGGCCTGATGCCGTGTGCAAGTGCCTCAGCTGTTGCACACAAGAATAGGCAAAGTGTTTTCCATCAACAGTACAAAGCAGGAACAGCAGAGTTGACATGACAGAGGTGTCCTGGGCCTTCCTGGCTTTCCTGTCTCTCCTAGGAGGGAGCCACACACATAGACAAATTCCAGCATGGGAAAGCATAGTCCTGTACCTCTCATCAATTTCTGCCTTCTCAGGATCCACGAGCAGGGGCTAGAAGACCTCAGTCAATAAGATAACCACTGCCCAGAGCAGATAAATGTCATGTGATCTTCAAAAATCAGTGAATTTGTCCAAATTGTTCATTTGGAGAAGGCAAAATCTCAAGTGTGCAAATATTTATGCTGAAAACCAAAGCATTTCTGTACTGAAATATCAATGCGGTGCATCATGGCACACGCATTCCACTGTAATGTCTCTGAAGACTAGGTTACCCCTCCTAGTTCTCTGTTCCCATGCTAACAGGAGTTGGTTTTTTCTTTGTACTTCCCTAAAGGAGATGAATAAAAACGATGCTCTTTTTCATGATGATGATTATTGGCTGCTGCACTTGACCTGCTCATGGCTGGCACTGAGATGACATCCACTGCACCTCAATGGGCCATCCTGCTGCTGTTGAAGTACCCCGAGATTCAAAGTAAGATACCTTTATGGTTTTGTTTTTCTTACATAGTGTGCTGAAGTGCTCTGCAGTGACTGTAAGTGATGCTCACCTGTAAAAGCTTTGTAGCTCCTCCTGTGTGCCAGAGCATGCAAAATCTGAGCATCTGGAACCTGTCCACTTCCATCCAAACCTTGTATGCTACCACTGAGGACCAAAGGATTTGAGGGGTTGTTTTCCATCTGCTCCCAGGAGCAGCAAACCTCCTGCCCTGAGGTAGCCCAACCAACAGTTGGCATGAACAAGATTTGCAGGTGCTTTACCACTGAGGAAAACACACTTCATGCCTTTTCTTTGCCTTACAGAAAAGGTGCACGCAGAGATTGAGCAAGTTCTTGGCCCTAGCTGCTTGCCTACCTTTGAGGACTGGAAAAAAATGTCATTTAGCAATGCAGTGATCCACGGGGTGCAGAGATTTGTCGCCCTCCTGCCACATGTTACACGGTGCACTTCAATTAACACCCACTTTAAAGGTTATTTCATTCCCAAGGTACTTGCTGCTCTTCAGTTGAAGAGGGGGGTGCAGCACACCAGTGACCTGCAGGGAAATTGTCACGAGGAGTAGGGGAGCTTGAAGCACAAGGCTTTTGGTGAGGAAGAACCAGTTCCCTAACCCCTGTCTCCTCTGAGTCCAGACTAATGGCAGTGTGACTTCAGAGTTATGTACACAACTTCCCATTTCACATAACTCAGTCTTCATAACCTGGAGTCTGTTCCTTATTCTCTTCACTTTCCATTGCCACTTGTGCCCTGTAGAGCAGTGCTGCCTCTGGAGGACCATGGCATCATCTCATCACCTTGCTTCAAGCAAGCAGAGATCAGCTGGGCAGCAAGGAAGCCTGGCCCGTGTCTTTATTCTGCTTCATAACTCAGGCACAGCCAACAACTATTGTTGTTTAATCACATTTAGTCAGTAATTCCAGTGAACAGTAACTAAGGGTCAGATGGTCATGTACAAGCCCAGAAATTAGTTCTTCAGAGGTGGAAGTTTGCTTTCAGACACAGCCCAAAGGGAGGAATGGTTACATGGCTGAATGGGCAAGCCAGACTCTTGCTGCAACCCCACATGCTAAAGCAGAGCATGGCTGTGCTGCAGGGAACACCAGTGATTCCTCTGCTCACCTCTGTGCTGCTGGATAAAACACAGTGGGAGACGCCTTGATGAATTCAACCCCAACCACTTTCTTGATGTGGATGGGAACTTCATACAGAAGAAAGCATTCCTGCCTTTCTCCACAGGTCATGAAAGTGTTTGCCCATGTTCCCAGTGCCCCTCAGAAGAGATTAGCCAAGTGGCAGGATCTGAGCCTCTGTTGGGAACAGCATGGGCATTGGTGGTGGGGATGGTTTGAAATACCTGCCCTAGGTTTTGATGACTTGCAAGCAGCCCCTCAGCCCACGCTGGAAGGCATCCTGGGGCCTACAAAAAGTTCAACACCTACAAAGGAGTTCAACCTTCCCTCTGCCTTGGGAAGGCTGATTTCTAGGGTGTCCCAGATGAATTCCTTCTGGGCACAGAGTGAAACAACCCTTTTCAAATGCCTGTAGGAGACCAACAGTGATGGCTGCTGAATATCATGCCATGCTATTTTGCATTTCTGCAGCCTATGCTGTCCTTCACACTATCAAGTAGCAGGGAAGAGATGTTGGGTTGAGCCACCACTTACCCAATCACTCCACCAACAGCCATGCTTTGACATTGCAGGGCAGAGAAACTGCACTGGAGAATGTCTTGCCATGATGGAGCTCTTCATCTTCTTACAGGCTTGATAAAGAAGTTGATTTTTAAGCCTCTACCAGGGGTCAAAGAATCTGAGCTGCACACAACTGCAGAGGCTGGGTTCACCATGAGACCCCAGCCACAGTGTGTCTGTGCTGTGCTATGCCAATAAAGCCACGGCTCTGAACTGAGACAGATCCATGTAATAGTTTTCTGCAGAGCCTAGCAGGTGCACTAAAGAGAAATCAGATCCCTGTGCAGTAGCTACAAGTAGAGTCTTCTTACACAAAGCCTTGCAAGTAATGGCTACATGCCATTGAACAAATACTTGGTCAAGACCCAGGTCGCCTTACCTACCAGGATGGTTAGTGGGTAAGGTGACCTGGAAAATGCCAGCCAGACATGACTGGAAATAGAAGGACAGTCAGTACTTTATACATCAAAAGTAGAGTGTAAGAAAGTTATCCTTGTTCTGAGCCTCTAGGAGAGGATGTGTCTCAAGAGTGAGTAATTTCTTCACTTGGAGAGCAGTAGTAGATAAAATGTTGTGTCATCATCTAATCCCTGCTCTTTTCCCATTCTCTGCTGCACAAGGGATAAATTAATCCCAGATACCTACACTTTCTGTGTGATGGATGTTCTTCTAACACTTTACAGGTTTCTGATTTTGAATCCCAGATATCAGACCCTAGATTTCATAGGTTCCCCTTGCTCTGAAGGACCTCAGCAAGGTTCCTTGGGAGTCTTTGGCTCTTTCTGGGTACAGGCTCTGCTATGCCTGCGCTGATATAGGGCTCAACAGCTCTCCCCAGACAAGTGAAGACACTCCCCAGCATTGTTGCAAAGGTAGCTCAGATACACAGACACAACCTCTTTTCAGAGCACGATGTGTGAACAAGAAAGCATGCAAACACTGTAGAGATGTGTTTCTAAATGTCTAAGATGCTCTTCCTTAAGCAGAACAGAAGCTGAGCAGATCCAGGCAAAGCAACAGAAAACCTGCCCATCTCCCCTTTCCTTACATCTCCCAGCTTTTTGTGAGACTTCTCAGAACCCTCCCTTTTCCTGACATTCCCTAGCTTCTTCTCCTCTGAAATGACTACAGATGGGGCCTCATCACATCTGCTCATCAGGGAAGACAGCAGGACTCTTAAGGCAGCTGGCTTCTTCCTTGGTCTGAAATGCTGAGTGGAGGCCAGAAGGATCTGATAGGCCTGCAATGGGAGGTGGGTTAAGCCATTGTCCCACAAGGTGCCTGAGATGGTTAGCCCCTCAGAGGGATCAGTGTCTGCTGTAGGATGAGAAGAGTGTCCTGTATACCACTTGATTCTTCCAGGTTAATGGTAAATAACTGCCTTTGCTCCCAGACTTACTCACAGGTGAATGCAGTTGGACTGGGGTCCATAAAGCCTCAAGGCTTGGATCTGCCCTCCCTACCCAGCCTGAATCTGGGGTTGGCAGGGTGTTTCACCCCAATAAGAACTGCAGGGCTGGGCTGTCTGTGACTCAGAGGGATCATGTTGCCATCTCGTGGCAAAAATAAAATAGAAATGATATTCTGCACAGTACTTATTCCTCTGGCTCCGTGGGGCTGCAGATACAAAGCAACCCTTCTTTTATAGATCCATGCAGTTCCTGCAATCCTTGCATCTGACCATCGCCCCTCTGAGAACAGGAGCTCTAGTTTTCAGCATCACACAGAGCTTGGGATGACAGGTTATGGCCCACGCTGCCCAGCTGGCAGCATGTGGCAGGAGCCACAGACATGGTGTCAGTTGGGTTTGTGCAGATCTTACTTTAAGAACCAAGCCACCTGTCCTGCGCCAAGATGTTTGCCTTCAATTCAAGTCAATGTGTTGCAAGGCACAAACATGTTTTGCAGCTAAAGGGAAGACCCTCAGGGCCACTGAGGAATGTGGAAATGGTATTGCCACCCTTGGGAGCTGATGTTTTCTGCTAGATAAATATGTAGCTGAGTTATAATCAGTGTTCTGCCATCATTTGGCTGAGCAAAGAAATGGGAGGCAGGCACTTTCTTTTATGGAGATGTATTCAGCTGTCTAACTCAGTATGCTGGGGAGGGAGCAATTCCAAACACAGGCACAAGTAAGATGCACTTTTCAAAGGAATCAAACCTGTTTTCCTTGGATGTTTGCACCTGGTAGCTGTGGCTCTGGGGCACGGGTATTGCGCAGTCGGCTGAATCTGTGCATGCAGGCAGTGCTGCTGCAGGCTCTGCTGTGCCTGCTGCAGAGTGCCAGTGCGGAAGGTGATGTCCAAAACCAGCAGGCTCAGAAGGCTGCTGTGCCACGTACAAAGGGATCCATCTCTTTCCTTCAAAGCCAAGAACCCCTAAGCCCATGGCAGGGTGTCAAGTCTGAGGTTCCACTGGTGAATTTGTGCAGATTGGAGCCCACCCTATTGTCCCCCAGAGCACTAGATCGTTGCCATAGCTGTGTTTTGAGTTCATATTACTTTTGGAGGGGGCTAGAGCAGGAGCAGTCCTGGCCTCTCTGAAGCAAAAGGCAAAAGTCTCTTTTATTTCAGCAAAACCAAGGCTTCCTTCACCCAATTGCTATGTGTCTTGCTCCCCAGTTGCTTTACCTGCCTCTCCCTGCCTTCCCTGAAGACCTCATCCTGCTTACCACCACTCCTCAAGAGCGACATTGCCAGCAGGTAATATTTCAGGAGCTCAAGGGGTGGGAGGCTCAGGGTCCAAGGCACTAAGCAGAGGGGCAGCACCAGCCTCAGTGAAGCTGTGGTGACAACCTTTCATTCAGCCTCTGCAAGCAAGAACTGAAGACATAAAAGTGAAAAACCAAGGCTATCCCCAGGACTGATAGCCCATAGCCAAGCATAAAGGGAAAGCTCTGCCCTGGAGAAACCACTCTGCAGGAGGGTCTCCTATTGAGCTGTTTTTTCTCAGGATGAGGGTATGCATAACCTTTCACCCAGGAGATACAAGCAAAATCATCACATTTGTTGTCACTCTGCGCTCAGGATCAGCCTTTCAAGGCATTTGTATTTCTGTGTAATGCAAAGTTGGGAGGGGGGCATATGAAATGTAACGAAGATGTGGGATTCAGATTTTACTCGGTTCCCATGAAGGGGGAAACAAACAACATGATGAAGCATGTGATAAGAAAATGCATATGGAGAAGTGGCGATTCACAGGCAGATAAATGGATGAAAAGTTGCCTGAGCTATGCATCAGCTGGAATAAGATTGCAGAATATGATGGCAGATAAGAGTGCTACAGACAGGGACAACAGCCAGACAAAGCTAGAGAGGAAAGGAAAACAACCAAAATTGGGTCTCACCTAATCCCTGATCCCAATTCTCCTTGCATGAGCGTGTGCAATACAAAACTATTACACTGGGCACCATTTGCATGGCTGGTTCCAATGGCCAGACCATCTCAAATACCAAATTGACAGCTGGTGTTGGCTTTTAACATTAACCAGGAGGTCTGAAGTGAGGAACACTGTTTGCTCCTGTTTAACAAGGTTAAGAAAGACAGGGATACATGCAACTAGAAATGGGTCTAATTTATTTTTTCTGTATCATTCACCTTTTAAGATTGGTTGCTGGTACAAATCTCATGTGGCCTTATGATTTAGACTTCAGATTTGGAAATGTAGATCTTGTTTCATTCAGACTGAAGCAGTGTTGAACTTGGTGGGAGCAGTACTTGCTTATCTAAGCAGGTTTGCAGACTCTGGTGCATCTTTCAGGACATTGTTCCAAGGCAGAAATAACTTTGTCCTCAATCCATGTGAATCGATCTGTTTTTTTTCACTCCCAGTGTTTGACTTGGTGGCCAAGCCTGGCAGGGTTTTGCTAGAAGCTATGGATAATTAGGAAACTTGGGAAAGTTCAGGGTGTACCCATGGATGGTTCACATGTGTGACACACAGTGTATTTCTGTGTCTTTCCTCAGGATTTTGGGCAGATTTCTGTGCCAGTATGATCCTCACTGCTTCCCCATGGGAGCCTGGGTGTCACACGTACTACTCATGGGCGGCATCCCCTTCACCAGACCACTTCCTTGGTCCCTTCTTTGGCTCCATGCACCATCTCTCTTGAGAAGAAGTGTGTGTTTGTCAACCACCATCATGGTTTCTAATCAATCATATGCACCTCTTCATGGTATGGGAGCAAAGAGGGGGTCAGCAACCTATGGTGGAGAACATTGGAGTGGAAGTGGATGGAGACAGCGGGAAGGGGATGTGAAAGAGGGTGGTGTGGCAGCATGGGGGATGGCAAGTCCTAGCATAGCTAAGCTGGGTGTAAGCAGCTTCCCCACCTGTTGGGTTGCTCTTCAGCAAGGCTGTGGTTATTCACGCAGGATAGCACAGGTTGCCTGAGGCTGAGGCCTTAATGTGAAAGTCGTCTGGGGGACGGTAAGGTCCAAGTCAGACTCTGAAACTCCTGGCTGGGGTTGAAAAGTAAATGTCTGAAGCAACCCTACAAAGAAGACGAACAACTCCATCTTGGCAAGGCTTTCTCCAATGCAGTTCCGTCGCCCTGCAGATGAAAGCAGCATGTTTACTTGATGGAAAGAGCAGACTACAGCGTTTGCCATGCACATGTTAGCATCTGAAATGTTGTAATGGAAGAAGTAGCGACACCTTTAAATGCACCAGAAGTATTTTGGAGTAGAGGAACCCAAGTTGCTGAAGCTAGCTGTCCCAGTCACGCTGGCACAGTGTGCCTGCCTGGTCTCTTTTGTCACACAGCCATCTGCAGCAGCAAGTCACAGCAATATCACAGGGTATTATTCATTTATGGTGTACCTTCTCCTCTTCTTAGCTCTTCCGACTCCCTCAGCATCTTTAATCCATTCTCTTTGAAAAGCAGCCTTACAGAAAAATGCCACCTTCTCCCAAAGTGGAAGGGCTTGAAACTTACTTTTCCTGTGGAATTTATCCTAACATCCCACTTACAGAAAAGACCATGTTTCTTCTTTCCTACCCTCTCTCTGTGCTAGATTCCCAGCCCCTGTGTGGATGGTCCCTGTACTGTTGCAGCTCTTGGTGGACAAGCAAGGACTGGCTTTTTAACGTCCAAAGTCACTACTGAGGGTCTGGGGTTGAAGCAATTCTGGAATTCCTTCAAGCCATCCTTTCAGAGGAACAGCTGGAAAGTTTGAAGTTACATGGGAGGATCTGTAGGATTCTGCAGGAAATCTCCCTTTATAGCACTTAGAGCCTCCTGCAGTGTTGGGATTTGTTAAACTCCCAGCAAGACTCCTCCGTCCAGCTGTGCCCTTTCATATTGCACACTGCTGCAGCTATGCAGGGCACTGGCTGGGGGCAGGCATGTCTGGAAATGAGCAGCCTTTGGAAGCGTTTATGGCTGTTAGGAAGGCATGGAGAAAGAGATGTTTCTTATAGGATGGCTCAAGGGAGGATTTCTGGTACCTAACAACTGTTCCTACCGTTAGCTCAGTTTAAGTCCCAGGGTTTATGAGCCTCCAGAAAGAGAATATTAATTGTATTTGAAGGTGAAATTGAGATTAAAAAAAGAAAAATAAAAGAAAATGTTTGTGACTTGACCAAAATGACAGTGGAGATAGTGTCAGGGTCACCTCCGCTAACCACAGGGCTGCGCTTCTTCCTCTAAAAGAGCAGGTCTTGCTGGGAATCTTTGGCAGCTCTCAAAAGTGCCACTGGAAGAATCACAGACCAAGGTGATGTCTGGGAACAATCCAGGGCCTTAGATTTAAGATTTCATAGTGAAAGTAATAAGGGTTGGTGTATTCTGTCCTGTATGGGATCTCTGCTGGATGTAATACTAAGCCCAGGTGCAAGGCTTACTGGGACTCCCTTCCTTGGCCATGGTGGGCAGTGGATGAGACCTTGTCTGTCAGACCTGCTCACACATGGGACTTGAGACAGGATTTAAGGGTCCCTGGATTGTGCCCTCACTCCCAAGAGAGCTCATGGAACCCCATGCATAGCTGTGCTGGCAGCCCCACCAGTCCTGTCTGATTATCCACCTATTGCTGACAGCTTTGAGGCAGTTTTCGACCTTTGTTTGGATGCAGTTTATCTCTTTCTTCCCTCCAGTTGAACCCTTGGGAACCAATGCCTTTAGTGGTGAGAGAGGTGTAGTTTGAGAGCAGCTGTTTGCCTGAATGCAGAATAGTGGACTCTGTGCAGTTGCCTGGTTGCTTACTGACCAAGTTAAAGGCAGTACTTAGCCATGAAGACCCCATTAGTGTACATAGTAATAAAATGATCCTGCTATAGCCTCAGCTCTGTGCAGATCAGCCTGTTAGTTACCTGTGGAGAAGGGCAGGAAAGCCCCTTTCTTTACAAAATTCCCTTCAGCATCAAGGAAGTGGTTAGGGTTGAACTGATGTGGTGTCTCCCATTGTGTCTTATCCAGCAGCACTGAGGTAAGTGATGGGATTACAATTATACCCTGGAAGAGAAGTATATGAAAGCACCAAAGTTAGCAGAAATGCTTTGGTTTGGTTCATTTTGCAGCAGAGACTTCAGTGTTCCAGGACATTTGCTCCACCAGGGGTAGGTGGAGAGCTCTTGAAGGGTTTATCCCATCAGTCAGTAAAGAGAGAAGTCAGCGAGATTTTCCCAGCAGTGTCAAGGACTGAAGCCAAATGCCACGTGGTGCTGTGAAAACCTCAAGGAAAGGGTCAGATCCTGTAAATTACTTCCCTTGAAAGTACTTCACTGTGCAGATGGCATCAAGGAGGTAAACTGGGGTCACTTGTAGAGTGAGGAAGTGAGAGTGACAGAATTGAGTCCTACAATACCAGTCTCTCTGGATTCCATGTAGTTGGACGGGCTCAACTATGAAGCAATAGTCCTACAATACCAGTGTCATAGACTCAATATAGAAACTCTTCTGGGGATGATTCTGGACACCTGTTTTGGGCTTCTGTCCTGTAATCCCCTCTAAAAATATTGGTCTGTAGTGGCAGTGGCAAAAATGAGGAGGGTGGTGTGTTCCTGGGATGGAGCAGTTACCTACCTTGGGAAGGAAGTAGCCCCTAAAGTGGGTGTCAACAGCAGTACAGCGAGGAACGTGGGGCAGGAGGGTGATAAACCTCTGCACTTCATGTAGCACCGCATTTGTAAACGGCATGTTCTTCCGATCCTCATATGTGGCCCAGCTTCCAGCTTTGACGGTTCTCCCAATCTCCTCCTGCACCTTTTCTGGAAGGAACAAACAAAATGTATGTCCCTGCAAGGAAATGAACTCCCTCCTTGGATCTGGTTTGGGGAAAAACGTATTTTTCCAGGGTCTGGGGGGAGAGGGTTCCTTAAAACATCAGCTTGGGTTTCCCCCCCTCTATTTCTAGCTCAGGCATGTGGATGGGCTGTTTCCCCAGCATCATACTTTACGCTCCATCCATCCTCTTTCCTAGCAAGGCAAAGGGACTATTTTGTTGTGACTTTGATCAACGTCTAATTACATCAGGAATTCATAACAATTAAGAGATGGGATTCAGCTGTTAAGGTGAAAGAGCTTTTGTGGATCTGAGACCTCTCCCCTCCTCATATCAGCCATGCCACAGATAAAGTGTAGGTAAAAGGAGCTCACTTTGAATCTCTGGGTATTTCATCATCAGCAGGATAGCCCACTGGAGCGTTGTGGCTATGGTCTCTGTTCCTGCCATGACCAGGTCGAGTATGGATGCCATTAAGTTGTCATCATGGAACAGGCTGTCTTTCTTGTTTTTCTCCTTGAAAAATACAAGTGGTAAGAATGGTCTTAAAGCCATCATCAGTCTTAGCTTGGGAAATTCTGCATAGCCTATGACAGTGTTAACTATGATCTTGTGTTTGTGAACTAGGTGATAAAATGGACCTGATCTTGAATGCACATCATTCACCAAAGATGGGGACACCAAAGATGGAAAGTTTGGAGTGGAGTTTTGGTTCAGCATCCATCTCCACTCAGAAGCAGGCTGAAGCTCAGGACCAGATGCTGTTCACGTGCTCAGCCTTGCGGGTTTGGAAAGAGCCCTGTCCATCTATCCCCTTTGCAGAAGGAGATTCAGCTAATCCTAACTCTTAAGGACTCCTGCCCAAAGGCAGGTTTGAATCCCTAACAATGTTTAAAACGACCTTCAGGCCATTTAGGACTATACTGACCCTTCCTCCACATAGCTGGTGGAACACTTAGTGCCTAAGGTTGGCCTAGAGCCATTTTGAAAGAAGGAAAAACTCAGAGCCTAATTTTTTGTGTTGAATGAAACCAACTGATGTGTGAAACTGCCGAGTCTCTACTAAGGTTAGATGCAGGGCAGGACTAGGACTCGTACTGATGATTTATCGTTCAAATACTTAGTCTGTAGTTTGTCTTGGAGCAACAGTATCAATGATTAATTGATTTGTTGTCTTAAAAAGAAAGGCAGAGTCAGCTTTCATGTGACTTCATGCATTTTCTACTAGGAAAAAGGAGTTGATCTCATATTATTTGTGCTGCTATTTCAAGAATGGACTGAGACAGTGGCTTTCATATGGTAATTTTGATAGAAAAATCCCTACGGTAAATTCCACCAGCTGTAAGAGACTGACGCTTGATTTCAGTGCCACTAGTATAACAGCATGGATTTCAAGAAGTTTACACGAAATAGCTGAAATCAAGACTCAGCAACAGTTTTAACCAGAAAATCCAAAGGAGACATTACAATCAACAGAGTTAAGCAAATACCTCTTGTTGCTTGAATATCAGTGCATCAATGTAGCTCCTCACGCTGTTCTCATTGATATCCTCCCTGCTCGCCTTCATGTATTGCCTTAAAATGGCACGCACATCTTCTATTTTCCCAAGCATGATCTTGTGGGTTTTGAAAAGAAATCCCAGGAATGGGTAGAAATTGAAATACTAATGAGGAATTAAGAAAGAGAAACATTAAGTCTGTAGAAATATCAGCATGCTGAAACAGGTTCTTCCTAAGGCATGACGTATCAGTTGAGTTTTGTCACATAGTAGTATCTTAGCATCCCAGGGACTTCCCAGGCAGATTTTCATAGAGGAAGGCTTTGCTTATTGAACTTTGAGCCTTTATTTAGTACTACTTAATTTTAAGCATTTATGCTGTTGCTGGTACCAGATTAACCTGTACCAGGTCAGCCTCTCAACAGAGTTGGGACTTCAGTGTGTGTGGCCACCAGCCAGTTTCAGTCATTGTGAGACTAGTTAGTTTTTTCCAGCATCAGTTATGAAGGACTGTATATGATAGTTTGAAGGTAAGCAAAGTTTTCCTGGCACTCCCCAAGGAAGCATATTCATGCAGTCTGTGAAATGTCATTCACGTAGACATCAGTACTGAATGTGTCCTTATAGAAAAGACACATAGAAAACACAGCAAAGGCAAAGCCCAGGTGGTGCAATTATGCTGAAAAGGCAAAAACAGTTAAAATAATCATAGTTCAGTTCTCATTTTAGCTCTGCACAGATGTGCAGGATGATGCAACAGCAGAGTAGCAAAGGGTAATCTGGCAACACATTTGTGGTGACCAGGGTGGTATCTGGAGGACTGCCACATTTTAGGTGTAATGGTTCTGAACACTTGAGAACTACTGAATTAACACTATGGTTTGTGTTGATCACAGCTGTAATGTGTCTGTGTAAAAGAATGTTATTCTGTGGGACAGGTTGCTTACGTTCAAATATGGAGATCCCAGAAGAATCATAACTTCATCTATGAGTCTTAGGAGAGTGATAAATGTTGGGTCCTTATAGTCAAACCTCTCACCAAACAGCATGACAAAGGTGACGTTGATTGGAGCACAGTTGAAGGACGTCAAGCTAAAAGGTTCCCCTACAACGGGAGGAGAATGCAAACATTAGTGAGATGTTGCAGCAGCAGTGACATGTATGAGGCTGTACAGCACTGGGATGGTCTGCAGCTCACCTTGGAAGGATTTGATCATCTCAATAAGGAAGTGAAGCTCCTCAAAGATTCTCCCTTCTATCGTTTTCTTCCCCATGCCGAGGTTGCGCATGCTGGATACCGTGAATCTCCGAGTTGTTCTCCACAGCTCCCCAATAGAGAAGAACAAACCTGGGGGGGGCGTGAGACATTGCACTGGGCTCACACACAGAGGAGCCCCACCACATGAAACAAAGCAGGGGACTGGATGAGGAGGGATCTCCACAAGTGTTTCTGCTGCCCAGTTTCCCATGCGGATTTAGGGACTAAGGGTCTCCCATTTCTGTGTGCCCCATCCCTGTATCCTCTCACCTCCATTCTCCCAGTCTCACTGAGCCTGTAGTTTGGGAAAAACAAGCTCCCACCCAAACCAGTTTGCCACAGCCCTCTCCTTGTGTGCAAGATAAGCAGGTATAGCTTTCAAACTAGTATGGTTTGGCTGTAGAGCTGGGGAGGGATGTAGGTCTCAATCAGTCCTGCAACATTTCTGACCCCGTTTGGCTGCAAGTCTCAGGCCTCAAGCAACAACTTCGTATCTTTGAAGCTTATCCTTTGTCCTATTCCAGTCATAAAGCTATTTTATCAATGTGGAATGGGATAATTCAATCTCCACAACCCTCAGGCTGAGCTCTTCTATTGAGATTCCCATTGTAGTAGCATTGTGTTTTCAGCAATGACACTATTACTATCATTTTGTGGAGGTTTCTGAGTTCATGCCTTGATGATCTCTAACACCACAAAGCAGGGATGGGTATTTCATCCCATCAGGGTGTTGGAAATAGTATAAGAAAAACTTAGGTTAATATAATCCAAACACTATCTCAGATTGTGCCAATCAAAAAGCTAGATTCCAGCACTTCACATCTTCATCTTGGCTGCAAGGTTTTTAAGTGTGTTTGCTTTCTCTAGAATAAACACTGTTTTCAAGCAGTGTAATTTCCATTTGGAAAGCAAAACTTCTTGCTCTAAAAATGCCAAAGCAAATTTGATTTTAAATTTTTCTGTGATCGATGCAATTTCATCTGGATCATTCCTTTTCTGCAGCCTCAGAGTCAACAAACGGGCATGGTGAAATGTTCCCTGGGAAAGTCTGTGACCATGGTTACTTCACCCCTGTGAACTTCCACCTGTAAGTGTCTCGGACCTGGGCTGAGAAGGTAAGTGTGAAAGGACTTATAGTGCAATACTGCCGATCTACCCCATATTTTACATGTAAATCAGCTCTGAAAAATGCTTTTCTCCCCATCGATTCCTTTTCTTTATGTAGCGATAAATTAATCTATTGACATTATGGATGGCTAATTTAATTTCTAATTGTAATCCCAACTTCAGCCTGTAACCAGCATATAAAGCTGTCAGGTAGATGCTCAAAGTTAGAGCCACAGCTGAAGCAGAAGATGGAAAATCAAGGCAAAAAGTCCTCTGAAATACTCAGGGATGGGGAGTTTCCTTGGAAAAACTATGGGGCTGTTTGTGGGGGTGAATTTCTAGCCTCAGCCAGTTGCTTCTGCCTGAGCTTGTTTCTTGTTGATCCACAAGAGCCTTTGTGGAGAGGCCAGATGCAGGGGACTGATGATGTCCCAGATTGTGGCGTCTGGCAGTGGGAGAAAGGGAAAAGCGCTACAGCTCCAAACAGCCAAACCAGTTAGTCTGAAGTCCCCTGAAACCATGGGGAAGGTTTGTAAATTCCGCTCTCATTGACATCTGATGGAAATTAACCCCAAAATTACCAGTGCCTTTAAAAATCCCACTCCTCACCCTCAAATGGTTAGGACATGGATTAGCAAAAACGATGAAAAGCAAGGAGGCATTGCATGGAAGTGAGGAAAGCCAAATGTTTTCATTCTGCTTGGCTTCAGAAGGGCCCAAGGGGGATGTTTGAAAGCCAGGCTCCTGGGATGCACAGTTATGCTGGCACTAAGCAACACCTCCCACCCACCCTCACTCATTGCTCTAGTACCGTTTCCGTTCTGAATTTGGTCAAATATTGGGATGGATGGTCTGTCTACAAACTCCTCTGTGTAGTTCACAAGCGCCTCCCGCACAACTTCGTACCCGGTCAGGACCACAACTTTCTGGAACCCAAAGTGGAGGGTGTAGATGGGGCCATATTTTTCTGCAAGCTGAAAAAGAGGTGAGCTGTGATGGTCAGAAAGGGAAGGAGCGTGCATGGGGCAAGCACCTGTTCCTCTCTGGTATTACATCAGAATTGCATCTGCATTCTGATATTACATCAGTTGCTGCTTTTCTGACATTACATCCTGGCATCCTGCTGGGAATGGTGGTGGAGCCGCCACCTGCAGAATGGTGCCTGTGAGCTAAAGCTCATCACAGTCAAACCCAATGCATTTTGTATGGACACCTGTCTGGCATCCGTGTAGGTTTTAAGATTCTTGCCATCAAAGAACCCCCACCCCCATCAGTATATTATTAATCTGGTTTTGCTCTTAAAGAGAAAACAATGAAAACAAAAAACAACCCCAAACAAAACACCTAGAGTTAAAACTGGACCTCAAATGGCAACACAAGTTGGCAAACCAGAGAAGACATTTCGACGCAAATAATGATGCTGTCGCCCAGGAAAGCTTTGGTATAATGCTCCTTTTGTACCAAACCACTCCTGCATCCCTGCTATTAGACCAGAGGAACCGTTTGCTGCATGCTGGGTGTTTAGTTTGCCCTGGCTGACCACAAATTCCAGATCCATGCCCCTCTGCTCGGACATGGCTTTGGTACCTACAGCTCAGGTGAGCGCAGCAGGGAAACCCACAGCAGGAGCACCTAGCAGGTGATGAAAGCAAGCAGGAGGCTGCTCAAACTACTGCCTTTCCCCATGCCTGTACACAAAGTGATGCTCGTTTCGCACTGAGAAGGCTCTGGGTGTATCTTTGCCATATCACAGAAAGATTCTTTCACTGTTCCTTGCTGGCTGGTTTTCAAAGGCAATGCAATGCCTCAGGGAGCTGAAAACCCCTCCAGCAGCACGCAGTCCCACTGGCATATCCTATATGTGTCCCCGGAGCCACTGTGCTGTGCTTTGGTCCCTACTCCTCTTAGCCCAGGAAAGGGGTCTGTGGCAGAGTGAGACAGGCTGATGGGGGAATCCATGCTCCACAAGGACTGATGTGTGTGCCTGCTTCTTGGCAGCTTGATAACAGCATTCAGGGACAGCTGAGAAGAGTCTGGGCTGGGCTGAAGCAAGGTGATGGGAAGCCACAGTCCAAATCTGCTGTCTAAGCAAACACACAGTGTATACATGCAGCCCCAGCCTGTGCCAGTTCCTCCGGGAGCTTCCTCAGGGATGAGGGGAGCACCCCATCAGGATGCAGGCACCAACAAACCCTGGTGCCTGCTGCTTTATGTCATCACCGTTTTTTGCTCTCTGTGGGGTGAGATGGAGGGATAACCCCTTTGGAGTAATCCCAAAGTAAATGCAAACATAGGCAATACCAAACAGAGCCTAGCAGGTGATGAAAGCATGCGGAGGTAATTCCAAACCGCCGTTCAGAGGCTGCAGCAACGTCTGCCGAGCCCCGCTGGGTAAACTGACCCCAGCCCTGACATTGCCCATAACAGCACCAGGTGCTGGGAGCCTCACCTGGCGGCAGAGCTCTCCCACTACCTGGCTGCTCCTATAGAAGCACCAGTGTTTGCTGAGCACCGGTGTTATGGGAGCCGTGTCGACGCCACATCGTGAACCGCCGTTGTCTGTTTGCTCACTCTCTCCCTGACCCCGGTGCAGGTCGATCCCTGCTGGTGCTGTCTGCTGAATCAAGGGGAGAGCCCTGAAGAGCCTGACACAAGCACCCCGGGCTGTGCCAGCCTCATCTTGCACAGGAGAACCTCTTACCACCATAAGCTGGGTGAGTTGTCTTTAATTACAGGTTAGTAGAAGAGCTTACAGGCTATTCGTTCTGGTTCCTCAGCACAGCTTTTCCATCCCTCTTCTCGTACTGGCATCCAGATTTTAATGCGTATCCAATTCACCAAGAAGGAAGTGGATATTGCATGGGCCATCTGCATTTGGCCCTCTCTGAAGCAGTTTTGGGGTCACTGCATTGTAGAATTCCACTTGCCGGTTCTCCAGGGCGGAGGAGAGGGAAGCGGTTTCATTTCATGTTAGTTATGTCCTAACGCTTTAAACGATTTTTAAGTGCCCCAGCTGTCAAATGAATAGTTGAAATCCCACAAGCATTATATACTTCGTGTACATCACCACAATTACATGAAGAAATCCTGTATTACCCAAAGGTCTTTTTTTAACGGGTGATCCCTCATAAATGACATCGCATCAACGCAGACACTGGCTAGAAGAAGCCTAGAAAAATGTTATAAAGCAGTTTTCACACCTTTACAGTTTAGTTTGAATTAAAAAAGACAAAAACTTCTCACTGATAACATCCCAGGCAGCTTTAAGAATCTATAAGGGTCTGGGTTTGGGGGTTATTGTCCTACCTTCATTAGTGATTTATCTTGCCTTCTAATGTCCACCAAGTGCAGGTTACCAATGATCGGAAGAGGAGTTGGACCAGGAGGAAATTTAAAAGCTGAATTTTTATAGCCAGTTGAAAAATAGACTGCAGCTAACAATACTGCTGCACACAGCAGAGAAATTAATGTAGGATCAGAGATAGATGAAATTAAAAAAGACATAATTATTTTAGCTATAATCTGGTATGGGGGAGCTAGAAGCAATAAAAATGCAGTGGCACTGTTCAGTTTCTGCCAGCTGGCTCTCTGTTTGCTCTCTGCGATCGCTACAAGCACTCGATTCTTATTAAGGTTTGTAGAGTACCTAAATAAATACTGCATACTCCACCCTCTTTAAACACCTCAGAGAATGTGGTCTAAGCAGTTTGTAAAGCCTGTCCAGAAGTAAAGAGAGTTTCAAATTACAAACCCATGCATGTGTGTGCAAGAACATATACATGGGAAAAGGTGCTTGGCATTCTTCTATAACCTCCTCCTCCCCTGAGACCTCAGGGTCCTTCATTAGCAGCACTGTGACCCTCCAAACACTTCAGTGACACCGAGAAATAGAAAGGTTTCCTTGAATCCTATTAGAAATCTCCAGGTTTAGGTTTGGGTAGAATTTGAGATCTCCATGTTACCAAAGAGAAAAATAGTATTGTCATGGGAGACTTCAGCTTTCTTGATGTCAAATGGAGATCAAAGGTTGTTAATGATGGTAAAGCCCATGTATCCCTGGAGGTTCTTCATAAAGTCAGCTCTGAACTGCCCAGAAGGGATGGGATTTCAGACTTGGTGTCTGAAGGACAGGACATGTAATAGCTAGCCATGGAAAATTAGCTTGGATCAAGTGATCATGAGTGGATTCATGAGTGGAATGGAAAGACAAAATTAGATTTGAAACCTTGGGGAAGATTTTGCCTTTTGCAAGAGCACCTTCTAAGAAACAGAGGGAAGATGATGAAGTTAATGAAAGCAGATGACCTGTTAGGCTTCAGAAGGGGAACAAGAGAGAAGAAGGGAATGATTTTAAATTAAAGATGCTAAACACCTGGAGCTTGCATCCCTCATAAAGGTTTAAATCCTGTATGGAAAGAATAGTGGTTTTCAGGAAGACATTGGGAATAAACAGTCAATAGAATAAGATTGTTCAGGGAAGAAAGAGCTGTCTTACATGATCAGGAAGTGCAAGGTTAAAGGTACATTTGTCCAAAGGTTAGATCATATAAAGGCCATTATTCAGCAAATACGGTTCCTAAGCAAATGCAGAATTACAGAGGGAAGTGGACCTAATCTGAAGGGAAACATAGCAATGGTTAGCATGGTCCCAGAGCAAACGGCTGCTGTGTTGCACATTGGAGCTGCCTGAGCAGTGTGGAGATGTTACAGCACAAGAGACACCCAGAAGCAGAAGAAGCTCATGTGTTGCAACATTTCTGGGATATTCTTTTTTATTAGTTTCCAAGAAATGGGCTGGAGGCAACGGTTTCCCCCAGAGCATGCCAAGGATGACTCAACCTGCCTGCTCTAGTGCGTGGAGAGGCAGAGGGGCTGTAAAGACAGGCAAGAAGGATCAGGGCTGGCACAGGATGCAGAACGTGGGCACCACGATGAGAACTTGCGATGGCATAATTATGCTTTGTGCCCTTTGCAAAATGTTTGTTCCTGCAGGGTTTTGTTTCACTGGGAGCACCCTTCAGTGCAGAAGTTACGTGCTGCTCTCCTGGTATTTCATCCTTGCCCTGGAAGCTGCTAAAATCATAAAAAGGCCTTTCAGAAAGAGACTTAAATTATCTCTGAAAAGCCAGGGGGGAGCGTATTGAGGCTTTTTAAAACCAGGCTCTGAGTGCAATGCATTAAAATGACAAAACGTAAGTAAAGCTCTTGCAATGACAAGAAATTCCTGTCTCAGTAATGTGTCTGGTACGTGTTTCACTCCGGAGCTGCACTGCTACGTGCTCCCCTGCCTGAGCACACAGAGCTAAGCACAAAGCACCTGCCAGGAGCTGACACAGCTCTGGGTGCATTCCTGGGGCAGCCAGGCCCCTCGGGATGCTTGCAGCCAGGTTGTTTTGGTTGTCCTCCATCCCTTGTGCCCACATGGCAGTCTCCGGCCACAGCATGTGAAGCCAGTGGTGGTGAGGACGTGGAGCACGGGCGTCATCCAGCAACATTGCGCTGCCAATTAGCCAGCCTGGGGAGAGCCAACCAGTGAAGCACCAGCCCTGCATCCTTTAAATTAACTTAAATCCCCCCAGATCTCTGCATCTTCCCTGTCAGTCCCATTCTTGACCGGCAGCGCATCCTGGACTGCAGCCTCAGATAACTCCTGCTGGCTTTTACTGTGATGAGTTCCTTCTAAGCAAGGGCAGGAGCCATAAGAATCACTGTAATAGGCCACAGCAAAGACCCATCCAGAGCCACATCATGTCTCAGACACCAGCTGTGATTTTTTGGGATTGGACATCCAGTTATTTCCTTTGAGCTCTTTGTAGCTATGCGTATTGCTCACTCTGCATTGCTAAACGTGTCTTCGCTGCATATTGCCAGGGATCCCTGTCTAGAGTGGGTGTATTAAAGGTAGTGCAGCCCAACTTTATCAGTCTGACCCCAAATCAAGTTTATCCTGCAGCAACAGATGGATCAACAGCAACAGAGCAAAATATTTATTTATTAAGTAGGAGATAAGATCAGACTTGCAGTAGTTACACTGCAAATAGAGCAACAGCAAAACAAACATAAGCAAGAGTTACAGGCTCCTTGAGATGTGACCAGAAGCTGGGGCTAGCACTGTGGTAGGTACAATGCACTACCACTGCAATAACAGTACAAGTACAAGGTATAGTGCAACTATTAGTGCTGCCTTTAGTTACATGAACTAAAGCTAGTGTGAAGAGTCTGTGTCATAGCCAAAGACTGCCCCACCTTGTCATCCCTTCATATTCTCTCCTGCTTTCTTTCGTTCCATTTGCAGCATAGATCAGCCTTAGGTGACAGCAGCTTTAGTTTTATGTTATACATTAACCATACCTACCCCCTCAGTCTCTGTAAGTTTCTGTTTCTCCCCTTTTTCTTTTCATCCCAGCCTGTCTTTCTTGCCTCAACCAGCACAAAAGCATCTTCAGTGACTCACTGCTCCCTAACCCACCTTTGGTTTCCTCCTTGTTTCACAGCACACAAAGCAGCCTCCTCTCTTGTACCTGCACCACTATTCAGATCTCACACACGTATCATGCTTCCCTCAACTGTTGTAAGCCTTGTTCCTACTCCTGACGGCTGTTACGTGAAATAAATCATTAATTGTGGTAATCAGTTGCTTTAGGACAGCCACAGTCTCTGGGGTGTCACCAGCTTTCTGCAGAGACCCCCCAGGACATGTTGATGGTACAAGTGAATGACTTGGTAACAAAGCCCATCCTGCTTCTTTTTCCAGACTCTGTTTCCAGTTTTACATCTGTTTTCACAGCGACTACGTTCAAAATCCTATTATCCATGACAGTGATGCAGGATCTCTGCTGGCAGAACATGAACATTATCAGCTCTGAATTTGTAACTTCAGCTCGTATGAAAGTGGCCAAAGCACATTCTGCAAGCACCAAAATCTCACTCGCAGTTCTTACTGCACTGGGCCTGCTCCTGCTGTGTGCTGAGCACATGTAACTTCCATGGGAGCCCATGGCAGTGGCATTTGCTCAGTGGTGCAGGCACTGTTACTCTGACTGGAGACCTTGCTGCCTGTCCCTGACACAAGGAATGTCTAAAGAGGAAGATATCTTGAAGTTGCTGGCTGTCTGCAGCTCTGCACCAGATGCACAGCCTCTGTGTACCTGGTCTAGAGCTGAAGACACACAGCAGCATTTTCTAAAGATTTGAAGCTGTATTTTCAGTTAAATGGAAAATACTGTCCTTATTCATCCTAACACCCATGATACATGAGACCGAAGTTTGAATTGGGAGCCTGTGAATGATGGTTCACCCTGCAGTCAGTAGAGAGTGAGCAATTGAGACCTTATGGCAGGTGAATCACTCACTGAAGGAGCCTCTCTCTCTTTCTGTGGATGGTAGAGAGGGTCTAGAGAGTGACTACAGCTCCTAAGGTGCAAAAGGAGAAGAGGGCTGAGACTTTTAGCTTTCTGACAGGAGCGTGGCAAGTGCTGCTGCCCAGCCCCAGGCTGCATCACCTTCACACTGCCTTGGCCTCGTGTCCAGTTTTAGCCATGTTGATTCAGAAACTCTTCACTTTGTTTGGCCAGTCATTGTCTGCCAGTTTAGGGGTCTAAGATGGCCCAGTAAGGGGTCAGACAAGTGCCAGAGCCAGCGTGAAGCCAGGAGAGGTGAGGGAGATGTAGAAATGCCTTTCTCAGCAGATGCAGAAAGCTGCTAGATTGGCCCCGTCATAATAGGCTCTTCAGCATAAAGTGCCTAGTGTGAGTTGGAATGAACCCACTTCCCAAACCACTTAGATGTTTTCTGATAACTGTCCCATGCCTGGCGCTTGGCATCAGCCCATGTTACACCCTTGTGTCTGGGACTCTGTAATAAAGATAAGGCAGGTTGTATCACACAATGGAAACTCAGTCTGAAGCTCAGGTGAACAGCTGTACTAGGGAGATTTCTAGATCCATTTAGTGTCTGTTGTCTCCAGCAGGGTCATCGAAAATCAGCTCTGCTGATTTTCTCAGCCTGAAGCTTAGACTTCAGGCTGAGAAATTCCCCATGGAAGCTCTTAGGGGAGAGTGTCTGATGGGTTACATCTATACAGGAGCCTTGAAGCCATTTCATTCTTTCAGACAGCCCTGAAAACTGCATCTCTGATGTGCTGTTCCAGGAATGAGTCACAGTTTCTGAGAGCAGTACTCAGGGGTGTCTGAAGGATCTGCATTACACAGACACCACAAAAGCTGTTGGAAAGAATGGCATGAATGAAAGAAAAAGAGCAGTGCCCGGTGTGTTTGTTTCCCTAAAGCTCAGGTACAAACAGCTTTTTTCCCTTTAACTACACTTGCTTTCAAGCTTGAAGTGCTCACTACTCGAACTCCATGTTGTTTGGTCATTCATAGGGCACAGCACAAACCAGGTGAGGCATGGGATTCAAGGTAAAGCCAACATCAGCAGTGAGATCCAGGTCTGACTTGTCCACTCCTGGAGGGGGCCGGAAAACAAATTTGCGGAGCAAGCCAGCAAAGAAGAGGAACAGCTCCATTTTGGCCAGTCCTTCTCCAACACAAGCCCTTCGTCCTGAAAACAACCAGGAGAGAAGTAAATGGTCTGTACTGTAACGGTTACCGTTGATGTCCGAGGCCTTTTAAACTGGAGGTACAGTCTATAAGAGCAGGATGCTGAGGTAGGAAATGCCTTCCTTCTCCCTGTATATTGGAAGTGCTGCTGACTTAGTTGCAAGCTTCACTGAAGCCTGTAGGTATGTGAAACTATTCAGTGACTGTGGGTAGGTCAGTGTCTGCTGGATCTCCCAAAGAAGTGGTTACTTGCAGCGAGGGTGGACAGGAAAAATGACCAGAAATCCCTTAGTCTATGTTCTGTGTCCCTGACTTCCATATTTGCCTAGAATTAGGGGGAACCATGCCATTAGCCCAAACCCAGGTGGTACACACACACCCCTCTCACCTATAGAGAATGGAATAAATGCTTCTCTCCTACTGAAGTTCCCATTGGCGTCCAGGAAGTGGGAAGGGTTGAACTGGTCTGGGGTTTTCCAGTGTAACTCATCATTCAGAGCAGAGGTCAGCAGTGGAATAATCTCTGTACCCTGAAAGGGACCAGAGAAACTCACAGTAGCTGTTTGGACCAGATCACTTTCCTAGTCAAGGCTAGCTGGTTGGTTTTTTCCTAATGTGAAGAGACAAATAAGACTAAGCCATGGCAAATAGAACGGGGGAATGCTTCTCTGCCCCACTGTAGCTCTGCCTGCTATCAGTAGATGCTGCTGTCTTTTTGGGCACAAAATAGTCCCTTCTTAGAGTCAGATCTTTAAAGAAAGGGAATGAATGAATGAATGAATGAATGAATGAATGAATGAATGCTGAAGTAGAGGTTCCACATTTGGTCTAAGAAATTCAAACCAGCGTGATTTAATTAAAATCTCTGCTTATTCAGGATTCAAAGACTGCAACAGAGGACAGTCCAGTGCCTGTTTATAATAACTACTCTAGATCCAAGGCAAAGGATCACATCATAGATTGAACCACACATTGTGGCATCTTTAGATTTTTATATTTTGATTCTTAACTGCTTTAAACAAAACTATGAGGAATCTGTGCAGCATAAGCTGCTAGCCTCAAAGCTCACCTTAGGAATCACATAGCCTTGGAAATTCACATCGTTAGGAGTTGATCGTGATACACCCATTGGGACAATATTGGCAAACCTTTGTATTTCATGTATCACTGCATCTGTGTAAGGCATTTTTTTCCGGTCCTCCAACTTAGGCATCTCTCCTGGTTCAATGACGTGGTTCATTTCTTCCTGAATCTTTCCTTGGAGGGAGGAAAGGTTTAAGAAGCTGATAACCCTCTTATCTTGCAACTGAAATTGCCTGCAGTTTGGCCAAGGTGAAGCAATGGAAAATTTTGAGGGGTATTTGGGAAGAGCAGAAGTGTGTAATCAGGGCATGGTGTGGTTCTTTCAGGTTTGTTGTTGAGCCAAAGGAGCTTGGAGTCACTACAGTACATCCCATGCCTGATTCTGATTACACACCTTTGTTACCCCGTAACCTTCAACAGAAACCAGATCAGAATCAGCTCCTGAGGAGACCTTTAGTGACGTAAGCCCATAGCCTGCAGGTGAATAACTATGGGGGATCTTTACTGTTAACTGTAGACTGGCCCTCAGCCTCTCCCACTTGGCTGGGCTGCTTTATTGCAATCCGGCTGAATAAAATTCCTTTGTAAAGTCAACGGTTGTTATCTCTCTCAGGATACTCAGAATAATTACTCTGGACAACAACGGATGAGTTCCACTCCCTTCCACAACCAAAGCCTTAAGCATGCATTAGTATATTGTACAAGAGGACTCCTCAGGCTTACTCTGAATTTCTGGGTATTTCATCATCAGAAGAAGACCCCAGCGCACAGTTGTAGAAGTAGTCTCAGTCCCAGCAGCAAAGAGGTCCAGGGTTGAAAACATCAAGTTTCCATTGCTGAACATAGTTTGGGCTTTCTTTGACTCCTTCAAAACATACAGGTAATGGCCATAAGTTCTACAGCAAGTGATACCGATATATGACTGTGTTGCCACCATTTTGGCTGCAATTTGGCTTTTGGTGACTTTATATGCTCTGGGAAACTATATGTCTAGTGGTGGAAATGCCTTTCTCAGCAGAAGGGCCTATGCTGTGTAGAATTCATCTGGTCCCAAGTGTATGTGCAATCCCCAGGTTAGGGGAGGTTAGTTGGAATTTAGCTACTGCAATGAAGTTAATCACTTATTATTCTTACAGGAAGGTTTAGGATGATCTCCTCCTTATGTGTGCTGAGTGGTAACTTATTTCACTTACGTGGGACATCTTGACAACTAGATCCCTGTAACCAGCAGTTTCAGTGGAGCTATGGAGCGAGCACAGCACAGCTCAATGTGAGTATGAGCTTTGATATGTTCTGCTTATCGCACTTCTGTTTCCACTCACTCTCAGTCCCACACAGAGGGTCAGTCCTAATAAGAAGTCAGAGCTAAGAGAACAGAAAGACTCAGACTTAGCTTTAAAGTACCTGTTGTTGCTTCATCAGAAAGGCATCAACAAAGCCTGTTAAGTTATTTTCATTAAACTCTTCCTTGTGTGCCTGGAATTGCTTCTGGAGGAAAGCATTCAGTTCACTGATATTTTTCAGCACAGTCCTGGAAGCTCCAGAGAGAAATCCAAGGGATGGGTAGAAATTATATAACTGTGGAGCAAGAAAAGTCTTACTGTTAATCAGCATTTTGAACATACACTGCTGTCTCCAATCACACTGCTGGTCCCTTGTCCCATGCCCTGACATTTCAGGCCATAATTCCCCTGCATTCTCTAGTACAGTCCAAACAGATATGAACTTCTGCAGAAATAGAGTGTTCTCTCTTATATCTCTGCATGAGTCCCCAACATGACTTTTGGGAGAATCATCAGCTTGACCTTTGAGGGCTTCCAGCTGTTTATGTGTTGAGATACAGGGTTTTAGATGTGAAAGATGAGAATGTGAGCATTGTACTTATTTCATGAAAAGACTTCAGGTGTGTCACATCCTGTGGCAGCAGAAGGGACTTGAACTGACCACCTCCACAGACAACCAATATTGCTGTGTCAACATGGTGCTTTCCAAGCCAATTGACTTAGGCACAGCACCAAGCTAACCCAACTATGCTGTTCCTAGGGGCACAGACATACGTGCTACTAGGAAAAAGGAGGGGTCTCACCCCATCAACCCATGAGAGGTGTGCACAAGAAGTCCACTAGCTGCCTTGCCAGACAACTGAACAAACACTAGCCATTAGCTGTTAGCTGGGATGGTCTCTGCACACAGTGTTTAACTCTGACCTGTGTTTGCATGGTGGTTTTGGGGCTTTGCTAGTCTGGTGTTACAGCCAGCCACAAACCTCACTGTGCCTAAGAAAGACAGCTCCACCGGTGTTCAAAGCTGAAGCTTTGTGTCAGGAGGGAACAGGCTTATATCAGCTGGTAGTTTGCTGAGATTGAGTTTCAGTGGCCAAAATAAAAGAAAAAGAAGTTTGTCAAATCTGGTTCTAGGAGAGGCCGAGACAGTTACCAAAGGTGTGTGTAATACAAGGAGACAGATTTGAGATGACATTTCAGGATCCGTCTAATATGAGAGACGTATTGTGCTTCTGCTCTTCAAAGAGGTTAAAATAGTTCCTTTGTGAAGATTTTAGGGTTTTTTTCTTTTACTAATAAGATTCACACAGGGGCCTGGGAATTTGTATGTTGTGGAAATAGAACCACAGATGTGTTCTGTACAGGCTGGCTGGCTGATAATGTTCTTGTTCTGAAGAAGCAAGCTGTGGGAGGCCAGAAGGACAAACATAGGCAGCCAGATATCCCCCAAAAACTAAAGGCTAAAACATAAAATCAAGCTCTTACCAGCACCATAGGGGAGCCCAACAGCTTAGTATTTTCATTCATCAGCTTCAGCAAAGTCAGAAATACAGGATCATCATATTCAAACCTCTCTCCAAACAATATAGAGCAGATGACATTGGACACAGCACTGTTGAGTACCATTTTTGTGTCAAACGGTTTCCCTGTATTTGAAGCAATGAAAACAAATGACAGTATGATTATGACTATTTTAGTCTGGTTTCCTAAGGAAATGTAGTCCAAAAAATACCCTCATTCACCACCCAGAATGCATAGCAGAGAACTCAGTTTCAAGGTTTTAAGGCTTCAGTTTAATAACCTACTTCAGCACACGCTGAACTTTAACCATGAGATAGCATTTACTTAGAGTTAAACTTTCATTAATCTTTATTGTTCTGCTAGACATTTTTTCTGTCTCTGGATGTAAGTCTTGACACTCACCATGATAGGATTCAAAATATTTGATAAGGGAATTTACTTCCTCCAGGATTCGTATCTCAATGGTTCTCTTTCCCATTCCGAAATCTCGCAGTGTGGACAAGGTGAATCTTCTCATAGTTTTCCATAGCTCTCCATGGCTGAACGCTATGCCTAAAATAAAGGTGGAACATCCTTCTGTTACCTGTGGTTAATTAACGTTGTTAAGGCCTTCTTACACATTGGTACCAAAGCTGCTAGACACACTGTTACATAGACAAAAAGCAAACTGTAAGAGCTTGATAATCCCTGCCTGCGAGAATACAATGAACTTAGACCCAACCAAGCAAAAGGTCACTTACCATTTCCTTGTGTCATTTTCCTAAATATGGGTATTTCTGCCCTCTCTCCAAATTCTTCAGCATGATTTAAAAGGGCATCCTTGATGGTTTCATAGCCAGCCAGTACCACAGCTTTCCTGTGTCCAAAATGCACAGTGAAGACATTGCCGTATATCTTGGAGAGCTGTCAAGGTGAATAAACGTGTTCGTTCTAAACCAAATCTGGACCCAAAAGCTAGCAGTAGCCACCCTAGGTGTTTTCGAGCCCCAAAGGAGCCTCCTGGCCATGCCTGAAGTCTCCAGGTGCTGCTACAGTGCAACTAATGAGCAACAGCTATCAATTGCCAGCATCTTTGCTTGCACCTTGTTTGCACAACAAGGTGTCTGCTATCACTGCTTCTATCGGAGAAGGCAATAAAATGCCATTGCATTCCTGTGGTGTTCTGCAGTAACAGGCCAGCATAGTGATACTACCATTTGGAGGCTGGTTGGAAACTGCTGTAGCAGGCAGCTGAGGCAGGCCTGTTTACTTTAATGCTGGTGACCTGAGGCAAGCGGGTGTGCATACATCTTTGAGGCCGAAGCCACAAACACTACAAAAACAAAGCTAGACAATAAGTCTTTCTTTCAGGATAGCACTTGTCTCTAATTATGTCAAGGTGGGTAGTGTTGCAGTCATCGCAAAATTATTTGCTGGCCACCAGAAACTCGAATCCAACTAGGAAGCAGATTCTTGTAGATAATATCAGAGGAGCTCTAGGCTTTTATAGCAAATTAAATCTGAATCATCTGTTACACAGAAGGGTGGCTTTGACAATCTAATCATTCACTCTGTATTTTAGACTTGGTTTAAACACACTGCAAGCCATCCGCTCCAAATGTCTTCTTGTTTCCGATGCGCCTGAGTTAGCATTTGCTATGTATTAGATACATTCTGAAAATTGAATTTCAGATTAGAAGCAGCTCCTGTTATTACACCAGACAAATTGAATTTGTTTTCATCAAATGGTGGTTTGACGGCTTGCGAGATAACATTAAAACTGGTTCTTTCATCCCCGGCAGCTCACAGAGTGTGTGGCAGAGCCAGGGGCAGAGAACTGCAGCCGATTCCTAGCCTTCCTGTGGTCATTTCTTTGCATTAGTACTGTACTCTTGGCATCAACCTTGTTTATTTTTAGCAACACCAAGTATTGGATGTGGCAGGTCTGAAAGCCTATAAAAACCACTTGGCAGATTATAGGAAATCAGTCTGGTGCCTTCGCATTACATTTGTATTATTAAATACCCCAGTACCACCAAAAAATAGTTGTTCTTCCATACCAGCACCCTCAAATATACCCATGATCAGGTGGGAGCTCAGGACCAGAAGCCCGTCACTGGGCTCTTCACAATCCTCTGCACTGTAAATCAAGGCAGGTGAGCACTGCATGACTGCCACAGGAATTGTGTACTTTTGCACCCTAGGGTACCCTTTAGTCTATGACAGCCTGGAAGATTTCAGTGTCTACACTCCCCCCTCATTGTGGCTCTTCAGGTGGCTGAGAGACTTTACTGGGGACTGGGTTTCCCCCATCATAGTTTCTAAGCACACATGTAGGGTAGGTGACAGGTCACTCATGGTACCTCAACTGTTTCTACAGCAACCGGCAGAAATCTGAATTCACATTGACTTGTCCCCACCACCCTAACGGAGCACAGCAGACACTTTCTGAAACAAATATTGCACCTGGGTTCATAATATTTAAGTCTTTTTTTTTCCTCTTTTAGTAATAAAAGTATCCATGGAGCTGCATAAGAGAAAGCTATTTGTTACCTAGAGATATAAAAGCCACGCATCAAGTCTTAACTAATGCTGGGCAGTGTGTGTGTGCAGGGGAAGGGTTGGGGAGGCAGAGTTGAGCTTTGCCTTGAAGGGATATAATTAGCTTTGCAAATAAATGCGCATATGATCCCATTTCCCTGGAAGTGTTCAAGGCCAGATTAGATGGGGCCTTGAGCAATCTGGTTGACTGAAAGGTGTCCCTGCCTGTGGCAGTGTGTTGGAGCTAGATGATCTTTAAGGTTCCTTCCAACCCGACCCATTCTGTGATTCTATGATTTCCTCTGCTATGGGGATGGTACCCTTCCTTCCTTTCTCCTTTTCTTCCTTCCTACCTACCTTCAGTGGGAAAGGTTGTATCTGCAGCGAGATATCTCTCCAGGCCAAATAGGTTGTATCTGTCAGCAGACTGGTCCAACCTGAGTCGTCTCCCTACAGACTCTGGGGGGCTCAAAATATCAACAATATGGATCTGATTGCAAGGGTTGGGGTCTACACTCATGTGTATAAAGGAAGGAATATGTGCATTATATTAATATAAATAAATACATGTGTGTGCTATATACCTCTAAAGGTAGTCACTCTGCCAGCCTGGCTATACACCAAATATATAATTTCTGCCCTCTGCACAATGCAAACACAATCACATCTCCATTTCCACAGTTGTATTTCTCATTCCAGGAACTACACGTTTTCCTTCTGCCTGCTCACTCAGACCCTACCTCTGTCAGCGACTGGAACGGCTTTTTCAGGTCCACCACATTCAGGTTTCCAATCAGAGGAAGAGGACGTGGCCCAGGAGGCAAGCTGCAAACAGACTTCTTCAAGCTGGTAACAAAGTAAAGGAGAGCAACCAGACCTGCTGCCAGAAAGAGCAACAAGCTAGAGCCCACGTACTGCAGCAAACTCTGTATGGCCATTTCTAAATCAAAGTGTGGGTATGAGCATCTTGGGGTCCCTTTATAGCATCATCTGAACACACCTTCTGGGGAAGTGGCTTTGCATGGAGAAAAGGAGCCTAAGGTCTTGTTTAATTCCATTTAGGCCAGATGTATTTTATTTTTCTGCCAAAGAAAGCACCCTGTTTTATTCTGAAACATGGATTATCTTAATCTGGAGCTCTTATTTCATTTACAACACTGGGACAAGGTGTTTGTTTTCCACTGAAAATCCGTGTTGTGGACATGTTGTGGTATATGTGATTTCAGGCATAGAATTCAGGGACCATGCTGGATTGCTGTCAGGGTGCCAGGTCACAGGACTCAGCTGGACCACTGGTGATGTAAGCTTCCTTGGTGATTCCTTCTCAAGAATGCCTTGTCTTTTCCAAAATACTGGGTGCCAAACCTCCGTGCATTATGCAGGCTATTGCCCTTGGACATGCTCAGGATTTCTTTGGATGTGCCTCAGGCTTTTTGTCACCTTCCTTTGCATCCTCTTTCTGCTATTGCGTTGTCTGTGTCTGATGGACTGATGTATCTGGTGGACAGTTGGTTTACTATTTTCAGAAAGCTTATTTATGACTGTACTTGCTGTTGCTATATGCTGTACCTTGTGATACTGAAATCTATATTGACTCTTGTTTATATACGGGTCCTGTTATAACATCTTTGTTTAATGTTGACTTCCTTCCTTGGGAAGGAAGCAGGACATGGGAGGGAAAGCCCCCAGTAATACATGGCCCAAGGGACAGCTGGCAAGGAAGACCTCAGAGAAGACAAGGCTGGCCAAGGAGGAGTTGAGATGATGGTGACATGAACATGTGCTAGTTCAGACTGCAGATGGGAGTAAGTCTACTTACAGGTGACAACTCTGATTCTCTTTGTTTTCCTGCCACCCCAATAAAATCACCTCTTTGAGCAACACAGTATTTACTCCTGATGCTGTATTGATCTTTGTCCCCAAAATCCTCAGCCAGCAATCCCAAAATGACCCTGAAAACACTTCAGCCTCTCTTTCACAGTTTCCAGAGGACTGTGTGCCTGGATGTCCATCAGTGTCTCCAAGTCTGGTGATGACTCTTTCCTGACTGTCCTGCCTGTTTACAAGCAGAGGCATGCAATCCTGGAGGAGAAGCCCTGTCCTGTCCAGGCAATCTTTCTGCCTAGACTGGGAAAGAGATCCTGGATCTTTGTAACCTGGGAGGAGCCAGGGTCAGGCTCTGCAGGTGCCCAGGCAGAGGATGGAGGACAGTGACTGCCTGGGCAGCAGTTGCAGAGCTATTGCCAGGAGGAGCACACAGCAACATCCCTGGCACTGCAGGTGAGCTGAGTCATGCACCATGCCAGGGCATGGTCCTGCAAGAGCCTGCATGCCTGGGCAACAGCTCCCCAAGGGCCTTTTGCATCTTTGGGGTATGACAACATAGCAGAAATGATGATGAACAGGAGGCCACAGTTTTAAATGGTGTCTCTGGGGGGGAAGAAGCCAATGTGATGCTCTAGCACATATTCTCAAGTGGGGATATTTTGCCCCCCAGTTGTAGATTCTGTCAGATTATTGGGCCGTGCTGCTGTTCTACCCTTCAGAAATCTTTAGTTTTAATAAATACTTTTCCTAGAATCCTGCAAGGCTCCCAGGCACAGGCTCCACTGATGGAAAAATGATGATTATTTATTAATAAAAGTACATTAGCCGAAGGCAAGGGGAATTAATAATCTCTAACTAGATTGACATGAAAAAGGTGCCTGCACATCTGCCTGTTCTCCAAGGCTTGTTATCAGGAGTGGAGCTTTTCCCAGGGGAATTGTCCTGTGCAGAAAAGAACTAGGCAGGGTGGACAGAGAAAGGAGGGCAATGGATGGTCATGCCCATATCATAATTTGCTGCACAGCTATGGAGTCCTGGTCTGCACCCTCTTGTCCCAGACAGTTCTAAGAATATCCTGTTGTGTCAGACTCTTGTCTGAGCAAATGGTGTGTCCACTGAGACTCTTGAGACTTTACAGTAAGAGTGATGAAACACCCTTCATGGGCCCAGCTGAATGCTAATGGAGAAAATGTTGCTCCCCACTCCCAAAGACAAAAGTCTTTGTCTTTCTACCAGCCCAAACCAGAACTGATATCATCTTCAGGTAAGTGACTTTGTGGGCATAGCTCAGGGAAATAGTTCAGTTCCTCCTAGAAAATGAGCCTGTATATTAAACAGCCACAGAGCCGTCTAACTTCTGTGTGCTCATCTGGAGAAGGATATATTATCTTCTACTGGGACACAGGTTAATAATGTTACAGTAACAGTAGGATAATGCTGAGAAAGAGCTGTTATAAGGCCATAATTCAGTCAATGAGTTCTGATAACATAATAAACCAGGAGAGTGAACACCAAGTGCTTGTGTGCCTTGCAAGGCTCTGCTACTGATTTACAACCTCAGGAGATGCCTATCAGCCCATGCATTGTTATCAGGGATATATAAAGCATGAGCACACCCTATTAAACATTAACATTTTTAAAGACTCAGATGCGTTAAAACTCAAGCTGCTCCTTGCTAATGGATTTTGCTCGCCTTGAAAAATGCCAATGCAAAAAGGAATCAAAAGCTTTCTGACTTTGACCTCTTTCACTTTTTCATATTTATGGCATTGTTTTATTGGATTACACCTGCTTCTTCCCATCCTGGAGATAGGTATTTCTACAGGATCACTACAGTGATCACTATCTCAAGTGTTTGCTATGCTCATTTCGATACAAATAACTTGCACTGGATTGCCTTTCATTTGTCTGTCAAATCAGTGTGTGGTGCACATCTACTGTGAGATGAAAGACTCCAAAAATATACTTTAAAAATAATCATTATTTCACTGCAAAATTCCAACGAAAGATTCTTTGGGGTTTTTTTTTCCATATTCTGAGCTGAAAGATTGTATGTGATGGGCCTGGTCACTGGGAGAAGAAAATGTAATATCTGTGCACAGGACTAGTGCATTGTCTCTGCAGAGCCTAGTGACAGTATTTCCCTCTCCTGTTAAGCATTTGCCCCTTTTAGCCACAAACCATTCTCAAGAACTTTGTTGCTTTTAAAAGCCTTGTTCTTGACTGAATAGATGTCATTCCTTCATGAGTCTCACTCGGTGATACATGGAGATCCTGGGATTCGGTGCTGGTGATGTACTTTATAATATGCATATCTATAAAAATACTCTTCCAGGCCCCATGCTTCAGCCAACAAGCCAAGGCAGCCTGACCTGGGAAGTTAGTACTAAGGAGGTAAGGTTATAAAGAATTTATGTTCAAACTATGGCTGAACAAATCAAATGCCTTTACATAGCTCCAAGGATTTTCTTGAGTCTCTAGCTTCAGTCTGTCTCAACACAGTGTTGCAGAAATCATATTAATCCAAGGGCGATTTGGGACATACCATGAAGGATGGTTAGTTGGTATGTATCAGTAGAGCCAGGGTCCCCGCATCTTACGTTTGGACTCCCTGTCTTGATGCAGATAGAGATGTGGGTTTAGATATACCAGAACTGCAACCCACAACGTAAGAAAGAAGTTTGCTTTGGCTTTCAGCGCAGTGTTACTATTTCTACCACATTCCCCTCTAACCTGATGAGGTTTTGGCTCAGTCTTAACAGAAAATGAGCTATCATTCTGTACATCTTTGTAGAGCGCATAATGTATTAGGGCTCTGACCTTACTGGCATGAAACTATGATTTCCCTGTAAGTGCAAAACATTAATTTTTCATTAATCATCCACAGCAGAAATCCCCATTCCCCAGACTATTCTGGCAATATTCTGCATTTTTGCTTGTCTAGGAACCTGAACTAAAAGGGAGAAAAATGGTTTACAACAGCCTGTGGCAGTGATGTAGCAAGAGGCCTTATGTAAGAGCTGGCGGCATGCTTGCTGTGCGAGGGTGAGGCGTAGGAATGAGTGATCCTGGAAGGATGTTTCTCTGAGGTGTGTTCTGTGCCTGGGCTGGGAACAGCAGTCTCAAGGGCACAAATTCCAGTGTCTGAATGTGCTTGGTCTTGTTCAACTGATTAATTTCTTACAGCTATCCCAAGTCAAGCTACAAAATCCCCGTGTACTTTACTCAAAGCCTTTCGTGGCTTGTCTATAAATTAGTTTCAAATTAACTACCTGATAATTTGAATCTGTGGGCTCTTAAGAGATGCGCCATGAGAGAGAGAAAGTAATGAAAGTCCTGGAGTTTACCTTCCCTATATAAAAGAATAAAGGTTCTGCCCTGATGTATTATTCACTTTGGTGCTTCCAAAAGTAATGCTAAGTGTGTAAAGACTCCTTCTGAAGGTATATTTGTCTAACTGATGGGTAAGCACAGTCAGTTTTCAGTGTGATCTGACAACATTGCAAAAGGGCAAACACTTTTTCAGTGTTACTGTAATCCATAATTAATGACTCCTTACTCCATAATTAATGACTAACAGTTCTGATTCAAGCAAAGGATTTTTGTTCTTTACTTTAACTATCCAGCTGTGCAACTTGAAAGGGGAAGATCCCAGGTTTTCCCTAGTCTGGGGAGCCTTCTAATGTTTGGAAAGGGCTCAGGACTTCAGACTGTGACTACTGTAAAACACTGCGTGCTTTACAGATTATCTGATCTCTCTTGTACAATGGGCACCTTTTTACTGAAGCAGCTATTTCAGATTTCCCTGGTGCTGTGAAAGTCTCTCACTTCTTTGAAAGATAATATGTGAAGAGCATTTAATTCTCTGTTTGTGGCTCTGCTCTTTGTGGCACTGTTTTTACTGAATTCTTTTGGAACTGGTTGGTTTAAGCCACAAATGAGGTTTTTTTCCTTTGCACTGATTATCTAATAGGGGTTCATTTGATCTCCTTGGGAAAAATACATACTAAGCTGCTAAAGCACATCTATTAGAGTCTAAGACAAACTGTACCTTTACAGGAAACTCTAGAAGATACAACCGACATTTGCAGTAAAAACATTAAGTAAGCATAACCAAACACCTGCTACTATACCTGACCTGAATTTGGGTAACTACAAAGTTTAAGACTCCAAAGAAAGACACGGAGTTTATTATAAGTAATTAAAGCATTTGAATATAATATAATACAGGAAGTTGATATAGCCTTTGCATAAAATCAGAGTCCTTTAGGATGGAAAAAAACCTTAAGATCGAGTCCAACCATTAACCCAGCCCTGCCAGGTCCACCGCTAAACCATGTCCATAAGTACATCTACACATCTTTTAAAACCCTCCAGAGATGGTGACCCCACCACTTCCCTGGGCACCCTGTTCCAGTGCTTGACAAACCGTCTGATGAAATTTTCCCTAATATCCAACCTAAACTTCTGCTTGCCCAACTTGAAGCTATTTCCTCTTGTCCTATACTTTCACATAGTTGTAGAAAGTGATAAGGTCTCCCCTCAGCCTCCTTTCCTCCAGGCTAAACACCACCAGTTTCCTCAGCCATTCCTCATCAGACTTGTGCTCCAGGCCCTTCACCAGCTTCACTGTCCTCCTCAGGACATGCTCCAGTATGTCAGTTTCTCTCTTGTAGTGAGGGGCCAAAAACTGAACATGAGTTGAGGTGCAGCCTCACCAGTGCCCAGTGCAGGTGGACAATCACTGCCCTAGTCCTGCTGGCCACGCTATTTCTGATACATGCCAGGATGTCAATGGTCTTCTTGTCCACCAGCACACTGCCGGCTTATGTTCAGCTGATGTTGACCAACATCCCCAGGACCTTTTCTACTGAGCAGCTTCCAGGCATGCTTGTCCAAGCCTGTAGCATTACATGGGGTTGTTGTGACCCAAGTGCAGGACCCAGCACTGAGCCTTGGTGAACCTCATTCAGTTGGCCTTGGCCCATATCCATCCTCTCCAGATCCCTCTGCAGAGCCTTCCTAGCCTCCAGCAGATCAACACTTCTGCCCGACTTGGTGTCATCTGTGAGCTCACTGAGGGTGCACTTGATCCCCTTGCCCAGATCATTGGTTAAGATATTAAACAGAAGTAGAAAGGATTGTTGTAGTCTGCTTGGGAATAATTCCACTGTGGGATCCCTGAATATCTTTTCCCTTTGATTTCTTCATTCATCACACAGGGAATCGGCAAGTCAACCCCTATGCCAGGAGCTAAGGAACATAATTTGGTCAGTTTGCTAAAATCAAGTGCCTTAACACTTCACTTAAACTTGTCCAGATGAAACAAAGCTGCTTCTCTGCTGCCCAGTCTTCTAAGATCTGAGAGGCAGTTTGCTGCATGTGTTTCTGAAAGAGGAGTATCTCCCATTTACTGTTAAGTGTTATAATGAAGTCAAGTGGAAAAGTGCTATTTACCGTATAATAAAAAACATCTATTGTTCACAGCCCTGAAAACATAATAATAAATAAAACCTTATATTTCAGGCTGTGTAAACCAGTTGCTTGTGTAACAGAACCTGGTGTAATTTTCCATTTACAATACTGTAATAAGAAAGCAATCAAAGCATAAAAAAATGCACTTGAAATGGGCCTGCAGGTAATATTTCCATAATGGTTGTCCTTAACAATTGCAGCCTTCTACTTGTCTCAATAATTTAATTAAGAGAAAATCAACTTACAACACCAATTGCAGCCATGGGCAAAGAAGAAAAAAAGACTAGCAGCATCATCCACAGTTAGCACTCGTGTGGGTTAAATTGATGCTATTTCTCATCCTCCTTTCGGGATGGCTACAACAGAGGCTCTGCAGAGAGCGTGCTGCAAACCTGCAGGCAAAAGGGGTGTTTTTCTTGGTCTCTGTCCTGAGGTTTGGAAATTCACTGCTTCCCCAGCATCTGTCAATGACCTCTTGTCTTGCTGCGTGATGGGAAGCCGTCTGCTCGCCCATTGCTTGTAGGAGGCATAAAATAACTCTGTGCTGTCCATCAGGTCTGTGCTAGGATGTTAACCCATGTGGATTAATGAGGGATGAGCAATCACATCCACTGGAGTTCAGGTCAGTGCAGCGGGATGGGGATGGCTCTTCCAAACTCCTGTGGGAGTTCTAAGGAAAGTTGCTGCTGCCTCCTGGGGGTGCCTCAGTCATGTGCTGATTCCCAGGGCTGTCAGATCACACCTCCAGCCAGAGCTGGGTCCTCAAACGTGTGTTTTTAAGTCTAGACCCAGTGCTCAGCAGTTGTGGGTGAGGAACTTGTGGTGGAGGGACCTTGACCACACACTTCTGGGTGGAAACGGGAACAGCTTTGTCAGGGCTGGATCCTGTATAAACTGCGCTGCTGACCGCGGGCTCGCTTTCTCCCTTCATCTCCAGATGAAGAGACACAAGAGGACAAGCCGTGTTCCCTGCCCCTCAGCAGGCTGGCTTCCCACAGCCACGGCTCTCACCCCTCCCATTCAGAGAGTTCTGAGGTGACTGAGGAACGCAACAAGGTTTTGATGAGGACAAACCGGTTTATTCATTATCAGCAGCAGCTGATGTACGCGGGAGCTGCGGCAGCGCAGCGGGAACGCCACCGACCAGAGCCCCCATCCCGAAGGACCGACCCCAGCGGCCGAGCCCATCCTGACGGGCAGCGGCGGCGTCTCCATGGTGACCGCGCAGCAGTGACATCACTCCTATCGTGTTGCCGTGGCGACACCCCCCCTCCCCAGAGCGAGGCGCTCCGGTTGCCATAGCAACGCCCACGCCGTTTCCATAGCGGCGCGGCGGTGGTCATGTGCTCCGCTCGATGCGCTCGGCGCTCTGGCGCCGCTCGGTGTTCGGTTGCACCCGGTGGGGAGCGAGTGACGGGAGGGACCTGGTCCCGGCCCGTTCCCCCTCGCCGCCGCCATGTCCACCGCTATGAATTTCAGCAGCAAAAGCTTCAAGCCGCGGCCGCCGGACAAGGGCGCCTTCCCGCTGGATCATTTCGGTGCGGTAACGGGGGCCTGGCCTCCCTGCGGCCTAGCGCCCGGCCTCTTCCCTGCAGCGCCGCGGGTGGGGGGGCCCGTGGTACCGGTTCCGCCGCCCGAGCCCGGAGGTAATGCGGCCCTCGCTGTCTCTTCTAGGGGAGTGCAGCGCCTTCAAGGAGCGGTTCATGGAGTGCCTCCGCGACAGCGGCTACGAGAGCGGTGCCTGCCGACAGCGCGCCATGGCCTACCTGGAGTGCCGTATGGAGAGGTACAAGCGGAGAGGGGATGGAAACCCATCGATGAGGGAGGAGTTTTGTGGCCTTACAAGAAACAAGTGCCCTTGGTGGCTTTAGCTTGGTTTTGATGTGTTGTAGCTGTCCGGTGGGCTAATGGAACAACTGCAAGACAACTGCACAGCCAGCTTTCTCAGTGTGAAGCTTTTATATTATTATTACTTTCCTAGCTGTATTTGTAAGTGAAAAATTTAACTTGCTCCTCAGGTAAAGTGAAAAAAAATTTTGCCTTTCAAGGGATGTTTCTGCCCTTGCATTGCTTTGCAGAGCTTCCTGCACGGTGCTGAGTCAGGAAGCCCATTGGGAAATGCACAGAGGGCATTATTAAATGCACTTAAATACAAGGACTTGCATACACTGCATGGCTTGGTGATGAGGAGGGCTGCAAATCAAAACCTGTTTGAAAATCACTACAGCAAAGTAGAGCGGCATCATGAGTGCTGTTCTAAGCCACATCCACTTCAGAATCTAGGAAATGCCACAAATTCAGGTAGAGTTTTAGGAACATCTTAATGAAGTCTGTAATTATCTTTAAGTCTCTTAATTAGAGATAACCAAGAGCCAGGTCAGTTTCTGAGGAAACTCTTATTCGGTATCGAAAATCAGGAAACAACACAATTAATTGGAAAAAGAAGTATCCTTGAATGTTGCTAACCCAAAACCTGAAGTTTCTAAGGCTTTGCCAAGCAGCAGTCACTCTGTATAGATATCTTGGATTTCTTTAAATAATACTAAATGAAATAGAAAATGAATAATACTGAATTAAATAGAAAATGATGCTCTTCCCTGGGTTATAGACTCTGTTATGCGAAATGTGGTTTTCTTGTTTTTTACCATAGGCAACTTATGGCTAATGAACCACTGGAAAAACTGGGATTTAAAGACCTGATAGATGAGAAATCAGAAGAAAAACATGAAAAGTTATGATGAAGATGGACAGCTTTACTCCTCGTGTATGGAAGGCATAACTCTTAACGTAGTACATATTGTACGTTCTGTTCATATTGCAATAGGAAGCGTTTCCTGAAGGAACCTTTTTCAGGGTCTAATTTTCCTCAAATAAGATTATTTTTTAAAAATATGAGCAAAAGTACTGCCTTTGTCTGCTTTCTTCAGGTATTTTTTCTCCCTTTTACTTTCTCTAGCCTACTTTTAAAGATCCATAAGAACCTGGAGAACACAGCTATTGCCTGAAGTGTTCTCCATGTCTCTAAGAATGGTGAACTCTTTAAAAAGACAAAACAAACCCCTTTATTGTGTAGATGTCGAACTACAGATTAATCTTACATGGACATTACTAATGTGCTCACAGCAGTTACTTTTCAGGTGGAAATAAAACTGTTGTGCTTGCGAATTGCTTTTTATTATATACTGCTATTTATCACCACCTTTGGGGTGATTCCATCTCACCCTGCTATAGTGTTCTTGGGTACTGGGGTGAGGGGTTTTCTTTCAGTCTCTTAACCTTTATTGTTGTTTGGAGACTATTTCTAGTTCCAGACACCATTCTGCTTTTATTTGCCAAGCCAGCAGTAACTAACTTCACCTGACTTCATTTAGCTGAAATCTTTCATGATGAATATATTTGTTTCTTTGAGTACAGCTGCCTTATGTGGGTTTCTTTTAATATCTTTATGGTGACTTCAGTGTGGAGACAGGAGTTGTATTTATTTATCTCAGTAACCGGTATTTATTTGTGTCTCTCTCCCATGTAAATGGGATTGGATAATTTTATTCCTTTAGAAGTAAATGTTTTATGTCAAAACCCAGGGTAGATCAAGACTTAGCTATCTAAGAAATACAGCATTTCTTTCCAGAACAGGTAGCTGCATCCATACATAGAGCAGGTAATGCAGTGGGCCATACAGTAGGTGAGCAAGCAGGTCAGAGAATGTCTTTAAGATCTCTAATATTAATACTGAGCCAAATCAAGCCAAAACAATATGGCTTTTAGCCCCCTAGGAATATGTTTCAAGCAGACAATAAATTTGTAATTTCTCTGGATGTATTTTGCACTATTGCCTGCCCTGTTCCTCCTGCTTGCAGGTTTTAATTCCTCTCTTTTTTTTTAACCCAGTGTATCATTTCTGTCTCTCTGTATCTGGCTCTCAAGTAACACACTTCGGGGTCAGGGCCTGTAGGCAGCAATACACACACTGTTTGCCAAGGCAGTTCTCCCACGTTTTCTCCTTTATTTGGTGTCCCCTGTTTGATGTATCTCACCTTTCCTGCTGACTGCTAGTACTGCTTTTGCTGCTTTCCACTGTGCATCTGTTCACACAGAGATCCAGGAAAGGGTAAAAGAACATTTTCTGCTGTACATATTGATGGCCAGAGCTGGAATTTAAATTGTTGTTGGGGTCTAATCTAATTGAACACTCTGCACATAGTTCGGAGCAGGTTCCTGTTTGAAAAGATTGTTCATGTCCAGCTGCCTATTTTTATTCTGCTTCATTCGACTATTTAAATTATATCCTTTGGTGAGATTAGTACACTTACAGAAAAGAAAGCAGAGATTTTATTGACGAAACAGATATTAAAAGACATTATATTAAACCACTGAACAAGAGTTTTCTTTCAGTGATACCAAGTAAGAATTAAAATAATCTTCAGCATCTCAGAAGAAAGAAATCAAATTTCATGCTTCTGTGCTCCCTGAATATTACAAGGTGAAGTGAATCCTGATAGGTATGAAAGAACCACCACCAGTGGTGGTGGAGTAGTCTGGGCTGTTGTCAGTAGTAGTTTCATCTTTTGGATACTGCTCTGCACCGTGAATTGGCCAAACAGCTACTGCATGAATTGAGTGTTTTTTCTGGGACAATTGATACTAACTCTGATCTCCAGGTTATTGGAAAGTAAAAGGGGTGAAGTTTGTCTTGAGTGATTGAATTTTGACTGTTAAGCTGGAGCGATGGCTGCCATTAAACGAAATGTCTTGGACCACACACTGAAGGAGGGACCACTGGGAACCAAGACCCAGATTTTGGACCTGCTGCAGGAGGGATGCTGGGGGAAAAAACAGTTTTAAAAAAACTTCATGGCCTGCTCAAGTGAAAAGTGCTTTGTCCTACTTGTAGGCTTGGAGTCCCTCTGTAGTGTTACAGTGACATAGCCAGGGGGACCCTGTGTAGCCCAGACTGACTGTGCTGCTGAGCCACCAAAGTGGCCAGAGCACGCTTCATCCTTCACAAATAACAGAATTAGTAACTGGGAACACTGAGGTGACAGTTTTGTACCTTTCGCCAACCCAAAGAGAACATCCTCATCCCATCCAGATCCATGGGCATATTGTGTCCTGCCTCTCAGGACTGTCTGTCAGGCTCACAGCTGTCACCTTTATGCCAGGACAATGGGTAGTTGAAAGCTCAGGGAACTGGCAGAGGCACACATTTCCTGGCTGTAGGGAGTTAGCTTGAGAACAGGATATGTTTAGTGGAGCTGTAAGGTGAGCTCAGAGCTGGTGAGGGCCACCGGCTGACCTCAGTTGAGATCTAATGCAGCAGAAGTGGTGGAAAACAAGTCTTTAATCAGTGAAGAAACTGGGGTCAAACAGTTTTCCCAGCTTGCTATATGGGACAAATCCGTGCCACACCAGAGTCATGTGGGAGAAGAAAAGTCCCAGAACGTGCTTCAATTTATTCCTGCCAACATACATATTGTTAATAAAAGCCTTTCCATTTAAGCCCTATTTATTTTGGGTTTGCTTGTGGTAGCCAGTTTTGTGCTCCTTTAAAATGGCAGCAGTGTATAAGCCAAAGGAAAGCTGTAAGTCCATAGTTACTTTTCCTGTTCCTGTATTAAGGAGGAGCCCCTCCAGCAGCCTGCCTCCAATTTGAGAAAATCTGTATTCTGAAAAGGCTGAGCCGAGGCATCTGCACTGCAGGGGAGGCCGTTTGTCAGTGACATAGATTTCTTCATGGAGCTATTTGGTGCTGATGGGCCTCTCTGCTGTGTGTGACACCAGGAGCAAGGTAAGTCCCACAGACCTCCATCAGTCCTTGCGTGAGAAGCCTGCCTGTGTGCTGCCTGCACTACTGCTGCCACCAAGCACCACCTGCTGACAGACTCTGGGAGTTGAAGATGTGCAAAGAGTTGAAAAATAAGGTTCAGATGGGAGTGATGTATGAAGCGCCAGCTTGGATGTAATTGTGCAGGTGTGGAAGGGATAGCCCAAAGCAGGAGGAAGTGTTGACTGTTGTAGTAAAGATCTATGTAAGCTGTTAACACAGTAATAGAAATCTATAAGTGAGGGGGTTACAATTTTCCTGCAGCTTTTCTCCAGCAAAAACCTTGTTCACACCAACTCTGGGTATCCTGCTGCTTGGCATCCTGTCCCAGGGAATCCCCAGAGGGTTCCAGGTCAGCAGAGCTTTGCATGTTTGGCATTTAGGAGTGCCTTGCCCACACACTAGCCCTTTCTTTGCTCAGATTAGAATCCATTCAACCACAAAGAGCTTAACTTTGATCACTGCAGTTATTTACAGAGAGAACATTGCTGCGAGCTAACCGTCATTATGTCTTCCTGGGAGACCTTGAGCTATGGGTGTCTCTGCAAACAACTGCAGTGACCTGCAGAACAAGGAAGAAAGGGTTTAATAAACATTTCCGAAGCTCTGGGTGTTCTTTTGTAGAAAAGCTTATGCAAAGAGAGCCTCCTGTGCTTGCTGGAAGTGGGCCATGGTCCAAAGTCCTTTGTAGAAGCACAATGGGCTTGTGCCTCCATGCTAAGGAAGGATTGTTGCTGCATCTGCCACCAGGAAGGGGGATACCTGGTGTAGCAGAAAGGATTCATTTCTCTGCACCCATAAAGTGAATGTTTGAGGTTGTGCAGTTACAGGCAGGACCAGCTGACATTCACTCTTGGTCCCCTTACAGAGCATTCTTCCCAGTTTGTTCTGCTTGCTTCCAGGCCATGGAAGCCCTTGCAGCTGGGCATGATGTTGGGTGAGTAGTCACCCACTTTGCTTCCTTTGCAGATGACAGATTTGCTGGCCTCTGGTGAGTAACTGCCCTTTGTGGTAGCAATCAAAACAGCTTTTACTTACTGTTGCTTTTGTAGGTTAGGCTTAACCAGCTCAGTGGAAAGGAGCTAGGGTCAGTTAGAGCACCTCCTGGATTCCACCCTGCTGTTGTCCTGCTCCAAGCAGGCTTGGAGAGCAGTGGGAGGCAGTGACACTTCCACCAAGCTGCTGGAGCTAAACCTGGGACATATGAGGCTGTGAGAGCAGGAGCAGCCTGCTCCCTGTATAGAAAGCATCTATAGCGTCACTTGTTGCTGTAGGATCTAAAAGTGCCTTTAGTGTTCTGGTTCCACTGGAGAGCAGTATGTTTCTACATTTCTTACCCGTGATTCTTGGGAAGGGAATGATGCTTCTGCTAATATGCAAGAGTGCAGTCATTTCTAGTAATGTACCCAGTGACCCCAGAGGACTTTATGTACTTTTAGGCCTGGAGGAGATCACTTGTGGAAGAGACCCTTCTGCTAAATTCAGAATGTTGCATATTGTATCAGATTTCCCTCAAAAATCAAAGCTTTAACTCAGATTAATTAAAAAGGACATTTGGAAGGGCACATGCAAGAGTCCATTTCCCCATCCAGGATATTTCAATGGAAATTGGATGTCTGATTAATCTTATTCTGGTTCTCTTTTTTTCTCTTAATGATTCTGTGACTAGCTGACAATGTTGCGTTTCCATCAGGATGCAGCAGATTTTCTAGCTTACAGATTCCAAGACAAAATGCCTTCCTTCTGGAAGGAAGGTGCCATATGGCTTCAAATGCATAATTGATCACTGCTCAAAATAGGAGCTTCATAGAAAGTCATCTAGAAGTCTTAATGCATGTGTGCAGAGGATGATAAACCTTGACACATTTTTTGTTTCCTAGGACTGGTGATGATACAGGGACAGGGTTTTATGGCTCTTCCTAGAGATTCTGACATTTGTGCTCTCTAGCACTGAACAGTCTGCTTCACCATTGGATTGCTTATTCCCACTATTCCAGGGGATCTTGGGACTTGCATTAGCAGGTGCATTGATCTTATGCTTGCTGATTCCTGCTGGGCTTGGCTGAATGAAAAACACCCCAGACAAGCCTGGCATTCACCATATAGCCCAACAAAGGCTACAGTTATTTCTCTGAGTGTAAAGCAGTTCAGGTGCATTGAACCAGGTGGGCTGAATCCAGCCCTTACTGTCTGATGCTTCTCAACCTCTGGTGGGAGGTGAAGCTGTGTCTTTCCCAGCTCCCACATAAAGCAGGGTAGGATCCTGCTGATGTGGGAGGGATGTTGTGGCCCGCCTGGCTGTGTGTCCTGCTGCCTGGTAATGAGTAGTGCTTTAAACCACTCAGTATTGTAGATGCTTTTCTGTTCAGGGCCTTATGAATTATGGCAAAGTGATAGGAGCAGAGTAGCAGAAAGCAGCCTTGCAAAAAGAGAGCAGGTGGTGAAGAAATCAAGGAGACATCCCAGAATGGCCCAGGCTTTTAACTTCACCTTCATGCTTTTATGAAGCAGACAGTGAGGGATGCTTCTGCAGCCCCTTTGAACAACTGAGCCCTATTTAGTAACCTTCTAGGAGCTGACAGCTCTGCTT